GTATTCATCAATGTTAACACCATTGAATATGAAGGGGCGGTGATGACACTGCAGTCTACCTACACAAATGGACTGCAGCAGTTCAAGAAGGCAGCTCACCATTACCTTCTAAAAGGCAACTATAGATGGCAATACATTCTGGATGAGCCAGAGACAGCGCATCCCCTGAATGAATAATCAAAAAAATTCAAGCAATTCCTACAGTCCATTTGGAAAAGTCCACTGTTGTTCTTGCATTCTTTGTTCACACTGATGGCATTAATGTGGTTTGTACACAATAACTGTGTGATTTCAATTTTAACATTACATAAATGGATGCCAATGGCCTGAACACTTAGATCCAGGAAGATTTTAATATATTGGCATGCCATAGATATTATCCTTTTCTGATCTGTCTTAATTAACTTTTGATGAACTGTACCGCAACCATGATAGCAATTTAACAAGGTTCTTCTGTTGGGTCATTGCCTTCCCTGATTTGTTCCAACTCCCAGGCTTAAGATTCTGTTTCAAAGTTTAATTGCTTCTTTTCCTGAGATATATAAATCACACGATAGAGTGAATTAGATCTGACAATTACTGACAACCCCAACAAACAGCCATAGTTCTTGCTTATCACAATCTCCAAAGTCTTTAAAATGACACTCATTCTTATTCTCTCTATCTTCTAAAATATCCCACTTTAGTTTATTAATCTCTATTCAAACTGAACCAAGTTCTTGTCTAGTTTCCACAGATCTTCAAAGGAACCATCATTTGTCAATTTCATTTTCCATGGAATTTATAAAGCCAAAATGATGTGTGCTCAACCAAATTTGCTCATTAGAACATAGCCTCCTGTACACCCTTGAATTGACTTTAATGCCCCATTTTCCCTTAATAAATCCTCTTGTAATATGTTCTCATACAAATAGTTGAACTCAAAAACCCTCAAACACCAAAATAACATCAGCATGTTTTCACTTATTCTCTTTCCATGTCTTAATTTCTTTGTCTTTTTTGTATAACTGTGTCTTATTTTCCTCTGACCGATTTCTACTTTTCTAATTTTAATTCTAATTGTTTACATTTCTCACTTTTAACTGCACACAATCTAACTGCAAACGTAAGGGGTCTTTCACCCAGATGTGCTCCTATCTTCCTATTTCATAACTAATGGTCAATAAATGTTATGGTCATTATATGAACTCATCGTTCTCTATAATCGTAGGCAGCAATTCCAACAGCTCCTTTGGTCTCTTTAGTTCATTCTCCAAAACGAATAGTTGCCAAATCACATACATTTAATTACTTCTGAAATTGACACTTATCTGTGGCTAAATTATGCCAGCTGACTTGTAATTGTATTATTTTGAAGGTTTGATGCTATTTCAATACAAAATGTTGGTCACATTCTATGTAATTCAATTGATATGTGTGTCAGTTTTTTTAATAACTTTTATCCTTTTGGTCTTATTATTTGTAATCCATCTGACTAATCCACAAGAAAACCTTGTTGCAAACAACTGATGTGCTGGGTGAATAAAGAAGGCGAGTCAGTACATCTTGCCTCACCTGGGAGCTTAACAGGTTGGAATATGACACAATACTCTCCATAAAATTGCTTGGGTAATATTATTTACCTCCTAATTAAAGATTGATGAAGGTTCATCTTCATGAAGTTTCAAGATGATCAGCAGTCTCCAGGTTTGACCAATATGTCTACTTAGTGCACTTTACATTGTTTCATCTAACCAACATGTATTATTTGGATCACAGATATTTTGGCACAAAACAATCCTTTCCATTGTATTCAGAGATGCAGGTAATTCATGCGAAGCTCAGAGCTGTTACATGTGAAAGTTATGTTCTGCCTTCAGTCAAAATTATGCAGCCAATCCTTCAAATGTGCAGTTCTTAGTGAAAATGAAAGGACATGTAATTGACATGGCTTGGAAATTAGTTGGGCAAATACAGAACTGCTGGGATATAGGATGCATACATGCCAGATGTATGTACGGTTATGCACATCGGCAGGAAGAATGAAAGCTGAATATTATTTAAATAGAGAAAGACTGCAGGAAGCTACAGCACAAAGGGATTTGGGAGGCCTCATGCAAGAAACACAAAAAGCTCACATCCAAGTTTAATTAGTAATAGGGAAGATAAATGGAAGGTAGCCTTTGTTTCAAAGGGAATGAAGTATAAAAGTAGGGAGGTCTTGCTAGTAGGATCCTTCTTCTATCATCATTCCTCAGGGTCAAGGATGATTTGCTTCCATGCAGGGGCGGGGCATTGGTGGTGTTCTGTTGTGGTTAAAGAATCTAATCCTGGAGTCACAAATTCTACCTCAAGTGGGGCCACACAGTATGAGGCAGTTCGGTGGGATGCTCTGAATTCTGTGCACTCTTTCTGCTGCTTGCAGTAGATCTCTACATACTCCACTTGGTGCTGCTCAAGATGTTTTGCACATTCACGGATGCTTCTTATTTAGTTTGCACATTCTAGGAAAAGCAAAATGCCCCTTGATGGTGGGGATATGCCGTTAATTTGGGAAGGCTTTCAGGATTTTCTTGTAGTATTTCCTCCGCCTCCTAATGATCACTAACTTTTATAAAATTCCATGTATGGCAAAATATACAAGGCACTCGTCAGACAACTGGCATACTTAGAGGTTTTAGCCCTCTTGTCTAAAGAAATACATACTGGCACCCAGAGGTAATCCAGAGAAGATGCACTCAGTTGATCCCACACTGGGGGGGAAAAGCTTTCTTATGAGGTTGTACTCACTGGAGTTTAGAAGAATGAGAGGTGACCATATTGAAAAGTATGGATGCTTAGGGGACTTGACAGGGTAGATGTGGAAAGATTCTTTCCCCTTGTGGGACAGTCTAAGACCAGCAGCCATAATCTCTTTAAGGTGCGAGGGGCAAGGTTTAAAGGTGATGTACGAGGGTGGTGGGTGCCTGGACCTCGCTGCTGGGGAGGTAGCGGAAGCCGATACGATAGTGACTTTTAAAGGGTGTCTTGACAAATATATGACTAGGATGGGAATAGAGGGATACAGTCGCCTGGAGGGTAGGGGGGTTTTTAGTCATGATGGGCAGTATGCCAGTACAGGCTTGGAGGGCCGAAGGGCCTGCTCCTATGTTGTAATTTTCTTTGTTGAGAGCAATTAAAAGAACTCGCCTTGTCCCGAGATGATAATATGCAATAAACATTCCACATGGTAACAAATGTGCTATGCTCCATAATGTCCATAGATTCTGAATTATCCTTATCAACTATCTTCACATTCATTGAAAACAGTCATCTTTCTGAGAGACATCCAATAATTATAATTCTAGTAATAACTGAGTACCTGCTTAAGGAAATATGTAATGATGTCAGGCCATGAGATCTGATGAGAGGAAACATTAACAAAGTTCTGCTACCATGCTTATAAGTCGTTGCCAATGTTTAGTTGGCACTAACCACTGTTCAGCTCACATTTGTCTCAAAGCCTCACGCTATGCCCACCATTTTCTCCCCTCGGCAATAACCAGTTTGTTTTAACAGAAGATTTAAGCAATTAATTCTAATGCTTACCTATTGTTGCATATTTACATATATAAATTGATGAATTGCAAGAAATGTTTTGATGGACTATTTGTACTTTACGTCCAAAAAGGATGCTCTCAATGCCAATTTTTCAGAGACAAGTTTAAAAAGCCACCAGTTTCATCTTTAATCTTTGTATTGCCACTTATTTACAATTGAGAGTATTAGTAATTTTATGTTACCAGATATCAAAATGAACTGAACTTTTAGTTCCAAAAATACTTGTGTGGGACATTCTTTCAAAACCTGTATCAACACTCAAAAAAAAACCGAGGCAGCAGATTAATTTGTCTCCAAATCCCCAAAACACTTGGGAAAAGTCAGTCACAGGAGTGCCCAATTAATAAACACCGACATCTCTGTACAGGAGAGGAGCTTGATTGTCTCTTCTGCTCTTGTAATCATATATTCCTTTTGCCCTGCTCTTGCTGTTGAAGAGACACAATCTATGATTAGAAGAACAGCAGGGACAGGAGGAAGGGAACTGTTGACTAGAGAAACGTTAGTTAATGCTGCAACATGAAGCAGTGTTTAAACAAGGATGGAGCAGGCTCTCGGGGGAGCATTAACACATCATGCTTGAGCAAGGTGAGTGTCTATTAGGTATGGGCCCGGAGCTTTATCTGGGTAGAAGCCAGAGTGTGTGCTAAGCATGGGGTTTCAGCTATGGAAGAATGAGAGTTGGTGTAAATTGAACTGTGTTTTAGCCAAGCAGGTTAGTATTAGGGGAAAACAACTTATGCTGCTGCTGGCTATCCTGCCATCTTTTGATCCAATGCTACTTTGATTTTGTTCTCAAGCCCTGAAAGAAGAGAAGAGATTGCACTATTCGGTTTGTCTCTTACTTTAAAAAGAGAGAACGTACATTGAATACCCAAAACTTTATAAATTAAACTATATTTAGATCCATGCAGGTGCAAAATTACTGCAGATGCTGGAATCTGTACTGAAAACAAAAAATGCTGGAGATTGCAGTGGGTCAGGCAACATCCATGGAGAGAAAACAAGCTAACATTGAGTCTAGATGACTCATCAGCCACTGTGATCTCCAGCATGTTGTTTTCAGTATATTTAGCTCCATCCATTATACAGCAACAACTCTGCTTTCATGGCCCTTTTGCGCTGCAGCTTTAAATATGATCTTAAATCTGAACTCTTTTTTAAATAATACTTCGCTCTCAATTTAAAATTATACTTGATGGACAAATTAATATCCAACAAGTACAAATGAACCCTGATCATTTGACATACCACCTAATATTCTCTGTTGGGTCTAAGGTTCCAAGGTGGGGTAGTGGAGGAGATTGGAATGTTGTGACAGTGGATCCCACACCTGCTGAGTGGGAAGGAGAAAGGCAGAGGACCACATGTATCCGTGTGCTGACAGATTTATTTAGAATAAATTAGCAAAAAACAACTCATTTATGGATTTCAAGTTAGAAGATTTAATATATTTTTGTGTATACAACGTTTGGCAATTGTGCTCTCTTTCCAAAGGAGAAAACCTGAAAAAAATTTCAACATAAATGCTGGAAGGCAATGTTACAATATGAGGCACCATCTAATAAAGCCAGCAAGAAATCAAAAGTAGCCTTCAAGAAAAATCTCACAAGCAGCCCTCCAGGGGGAAAACAAAATTGATCCATGACCTGAACAGTCTCATCTTGCACTCACTTGGTTCACTAAATGTCAATTGAACATAATGGAATAAAAATTGCATACTACGCTTACAAATTAACTACACATAGCTGAAATGTTTATAGCGTTAAAAATTTATTAGGTATTTTTCTGATCATCTGGAGAAAAGAAAAGGAGGCAATTGTGCAGTACAGATTTCTAAAGCAAAGAAATTACATGTACAATATACAGTAGCTGCACTTACATCAATTCAGATCACAATTTTAAGAATTTTTGTCACTGTACAGAAATATTCTCCAGGTGTAGCTGAGTGTGTCTTGGTTCAACTCAACACAACTTCATAGATCTGGACTTAAAGAAAAACAAAACTGCATACGGGGCTTTATATGAATAGAAATAAGGCTGTTGCCTCTGGAATGTTGAACATACGAGGGTAAAGCTCCAGAGATTAGGTTAACAAGTGCTTTTCACGTGCAATTTATTTTCTGCTAAAGCTTTCCAAACACAGTATCTTCGATATGAACCATTGAGGTGAACTAGGATTGTGATATGGGGCCCAATGGGCAATAAAGAAATTTTCTGCTCAATGCTAACTTTCTACAGCAGCACCCTAGTCCCTGAAATCCTACATGCCTTCCCCAAAAAAAACAGCATTTCTCATTCAGTTGTAAGTGATGGTCCATTGCTTCACACAAGCATCATGGGATGTTGTCACCAGAGTATGTTCATTCAACCAAGCGACACCGCTTATGTGATACAACCGATGAGTATCTAAAAGGAAAAAGGTTTACGTATAAATTCACAAAATATTCAAGAATCATGTAAGAAAACATCAATTCTGCATCATAGTCCTCATTACCATTCAGAAATTTCTAGTCCTACTTCAAATGCATGAATTTAAAACTGCACTGTCAACTTTCACTTTAATCAAAGCAATAATCAAGTCACATTGCTACAGCAACTGTGTTCTGAACAATTTAATCAAAAATTAAAACAATGAGATAGTAGGAACTGCCAATGCTGGAGAATCTGAGATAACAAGGTGTAGAGCTGGATGAACACAGCAGGCCAAGCAGTAGAGGAGCAGGAAGGCTGGCGTTTTGGGTCTGAAGAAGGGTCCAGTCCCAAAACATCAGCTTTCCTGCTCCTTACACCTTGTTATCTCAAATTAAAACAATGTTATCTTTTATTTATATTGAAAATTTAACATTTAAAAAATCTTTTACATGTTCCTCTTGCAAACTACAGCAAGTCTAAAATTCAAAATTGAAGCAGGTCACGTGCATTGAGCAAACAAACATTTTATTGCAAAATATCTGGAAAGCGTGTGTACTTGCATGTCAACCTGTCCTTTTCTCAAATTATTAACTTTGGATAGCAAGTTTTGCCATAAAATGTAGGTACCAAATTTCAACAAAAGCACACAGTAAACCATTTTGTTAAGTAATATCAGTGGCACAACTCCATGATGGAGTTGGATTTAAAAAAGATCACTAGTCATCTGACAAGTGGTCAAAATGTACAGGTTGGCATAATGCTATTAACTGTCAGAGCACAGCACCAGATCATCAGATAAAAAGAATAGTTTCCATTCAATGTACATGAAAGAATAAGCTGTTTGGTTGAAGTTCAAACTTCTGCAAAAATTAATATCCACCATCACAAGTGTAATATCAAGGAACAATCAGACAATGCAACCATTATTATCTAAAATATTTGATTGTATGCAAACTTTTAATGAAGGGTGTTCAGTTACATACAAGTATATAATTAGTCGCATAAGACCACCAAATGGTCCCTCAAGCCCGCTCTGCCATTTAATATGATCATGGCTGATCAGTTTGCGTTCTGAATTCCCACCTACCAATAACCTTTGGCTCCCTTGCCTAACCAAAATAAAATCTACCTACTTTCACCTTAAAAATATCCAATGAGTCTACTGGAGGCATAGATCTAAGGTTCTCCTAAGCCTCAGAAACAACGTCTCCACATCTTTGTCTTAGAAGGGTGACCTCTAAGTTTTAATGCATCTCCCAGCACCCCTAACACCTTCCCTGCTCATGAACCGATTTAAAGTTATTGTAAGCGAATAAAGACAGTATTGAATCATTTAGCGTCCAATTCAAGAAAAGTGAAGCAGCATGAAGTTTAATGTACTCACAAACATATGGTTTTGAGCAAATTCACATTTAAATTCTGTGATCTTTTGTACCAGTTTGGTTAATTTAACTTGACTAGCACTAACTTGACCAAGGAAAAATGACTTTTAACTTCTGCCTCTTCAACAGAAAAGTTACATTTGAAGGTCATGGTCCTTTGTTAGCATAACTTTCAAATTAGATTTTATTTTCGCTTCATTTCTAAACTCAAATCATTAACTCAAATACAAGTGATCAGACTACAAATCTTCAGACACCATGAATGGTTGCTAGAAAATTCATTCATGGGATGTGGGTGTCATTGGTAAGGCCCATTCCTATTTGCCCAGCGGGCAGTTAAGTACCAACCCAATCAGACAAGGTAAGTATGACAGTTTCTTTCTCTAACTGACATTAGTGAATTAGATGGGTTTTTCCTAACAATAGTTTTATGGTCATCATTACATTCCTAATTCCAGATATTTACTAAATTCAAGTTCCACTATCTGCCATAGCAACATATGAACCCGGTCCCTAGAACACCACCAATTCTCTGTTCTGTAGCCTTCAGTTAAAATTATATCTACAATCAAGGTTTTCCTTGAATCTCCACTATTTTGTGTAGCAAACATTTTTTCATGTGAACGGTTACAAAGATGTTTCATGTTTAATGTTTGAGGTTTACAGATGGAAGGATTGTGGAAAGAGAAATTTTTCTAGTTTTGTGGGAATTCTAGCAACAGTTCCTTTAAAACTGGTTGTTGTAAAGGCACGGTTGTTTTTTTTTAAACAAAACAAGGCTTCCTAGAAATAACATAACTGGTAACACCCACTTGGTCTATTGTAGACAACAGAAGAATAGTGTGTTTGAATAGTGGAGAGTGCTTTCATATCTGGTATTTGTTGTTGGGTTTGGGGGGGTGGGGTGTAGGGATGGTAGTGGTAGGGGAAACAAGAAGCTGGTTAGAAAAGGCTGCCTAGTTAATCTCTCCTCTTTCTGAAGAGAACTCATGTGTTGAGTTCAGGGTGAAACCTATTTATTCCTGTGAAACTGTGACAGAAATAACTTTTCAATATTGTACTTCCTAAGCAAGCTGTGTCTGCCAAGACTTCAGACAACACTGCATGGTTACTGACTTGTGCTAGGGCACAGCAAGAATATGCATAATGGCCAATTTTTACTTTTAATAATGTGAGCCCCTGGAGAGAGAAATTTTTTTCTTTTCCTGATGTGTGTGTGTTTTGGGTTATTTAGAGGAATTAACAATTATACTTCCATATTACCGCCTATATAAGTTAACCAGTTATTGAATCCTCTTTCGTGAAACTTTGTTTTGATAATAAACCAGTAATTGTGTTTATTGAAGAATGAATCTTTTTATTTTAAACTTGATAAAGTTAAGTTATCTCTTGATAACTGGGGAAAGCTTTATTTGGTGTGGTGACTTGTGGGAATAGCAGAACTAGCCTTTATCTCCAGCCTTGGTTATAATGAAAAAAAAAGGTTGACAAGTCCAAGTACACCGTGTCCAAGGGCTTTCCAAAGTCCATTTAGGATGTTATTTTTTTGAAAAATTGAGCAACTGGTCAGGCAAGAACTTCTTCTAAACCATTAGATGTTGTATACACTTACCTAATTTTACTTAAAACTTTAATTTTGTTTTAAAGAGTAAAGGACAGCCTTCAGCTCAAATGCTTAGTCAGTCAATAGTTAACTATTTCAAATATTTCATGTAAATCTAAGTTCCTGTCTCATCAGGGTAATACAATCATTTGAGCACATTTAAGACTGGTTAGTTGTTGCTTAGTTGATGTCTTGGACGGTAAGCTCTAGAAGTCTCATCCCAGATCCTCACTCAGACCACCTATAGTATCAATCTGCATTTGCTCAGAGGCCAGAATGATGACTGGTGAGAGATGCAGAAATAAACACAGTATTGCATCAAATGCTTTCCTCCGGTTGGAGCTAAAAATCGATTGATGTTATGAATGCAGCCAATGTTACATAATTTTAGTATGGTTATTGGAGGCAATAGATGAGAAAAGTACAAAAAGCATTAACACTTAAAATGCTAAAATTCATTAGATCTTAGCAAACTCAATTCAAACAGTTCACAACCATTAAAAAGGCATACTTTGAAGCACATTATAAATACCTGGTATTTTGAATATTTTATTTTGATCCTTTAGGGTCCAGATAAAGACTAATCCATCCATCCCACCAGTTGCAAAATGTTGATTGTCTGGAGACCATGCTATGCAGAGAACTTTAGCGTGATGCCCATAGAAGCTGTCTTCCTCCTATTAAAATATAGGTTTTGTTAAAAGTTTCTCCCATTCCACCACAGCCCCGTCTACTCAAATCTTGAGTATTTTTACATGACTAGGAGCAAAAGAAAAATATTTCAATAGATTTCTAGATAGAAGGGAAATGGAGACAGCACAAGAAAATGGCAGGAAGTAGATGATCAGATTGACTTGTGCAGCAGACTCGAAAGGGGAATGGCCTTTATCCTATTTATCTCCTGGGGGGGTGTACAATATCATTCAATGCAATGAGTCAACCTACAGCACAACCCCAATATGGGAATGGCCAAGTTCCTTTGTCCTGATTCTCCTCATTGCAGGAAGCAATTTTTAAAAGAATTTGAGAATTCAAAGATCTAACTTGCTTTCGTCTCAGCGAAACAGTGTCACTGCATATATTACTCAAGATCTCCACAATCAGACATTCCTGCAAGATTTTTTCAACGTAAAATGGAAATCAAATCTGGGAAAAAAAAAGTATTTTTTGCTCCACATTCATTCCTCAACCTCCTCCTGCAAGTGGTCATCATACTCAATATGGTTGTGCAAATGCTGCCTGCCCTCACTAAGGTTACTCATGTGATTTCTTCAAGGCTACCTAGCAGGTATCAACTGAGCCCAATCTACACCATGTATTCCAGCAAGATTGATTGCTGGGAATGGGGACACTGGGCAAACTTCACTATCTCCCCCTAATACTCTCTTTAGCATCTGCTTAAAATCTTTTCTCATGGTGAAAAGGTTACAGGAATGGCAGAAACAAATCCCCCTGGTTTCCGTCCTTGCTCATTTTTAGAAATAACTTTACTTTTCTAAAAAAGCCAAATACAGATTACAGCAAACACTATCTCCCACTGCAAATACTGGTGAGCTACAAGATGTTAACAAGCAATTATGATGTAAGATTTACGATTTACATCAACTGGGGGAGAAAAATCTCCATTACTTTAAATCTCGAGATGAATTGATCAATCACAAAAATGAACAGTCATACTAAATATTAAATAAAATAAATAAAGTGTACAGAAAGTACATTTTAGATTCTTTGGGGATTCGAATTCATCTCAAGAATAAACTTTCTTCAACATTAAAAGATGTACAGATCCAAATTGTGTTCCAAGGTCCCTTCTGAAGGAAGATGAGGAAGGATGGGAAGAGTTAAACATGGATAATGGACTGGACATTAAACCCGAGGGGGAAAAAAAAGATTAAAAACAAACCATAACTTTAGATCAAATAACTGGCTTTGGGAAGATTTTAAAAATGTGGAAAGATAAAAGATGGAAATTCTAAACTGCAAGGAGGAAGGAACCAATATCTCTGGCAGGAAATAGAGGGGTGAAGGTATACGTGGAAGATGAGTCAGAAGACGAACAAGTGTGGATTTAAGGCTGAAGGTGGAAAGAGTTACGGCTAAACAAAAGGATTTTAAAAAGTGATGTATCACACCTCATTGAGGTAGTAAGCTGCAAATCAAGTTCCACTAATCCTAAAAATGTCAAATTACACAAAGTCCCCAATTTATCTGTCGAATAGATCCATGTCAACAGAAAACGCAGACCAAATTTCTATACCGAACAAAAACTAGTATTCATTAGAAATAGATTCTAACTACAGGTAAACAACTATGAACTGTCAATATAAAATACTACCAGTTAAACTCTGACTCCCTTCTAAAAAAAAAAAATCACACATACATAGACAAACAGCATAGGTGAAGTAAAAAAAATACACTACAGTAACAAATCAATGCCATCAGTCCTCAGGATTCAATGGTATGTTCATTTCCTTAAGTCCTTCAAATCTCTGATCTTTTACTTCAGGTTCTCTCATCTTCACAGGAAGCACAGAGCAACTGGCTCACAAGTTGTAAAGTCTCTGACTTTTGGCTAAAAGCAATAGCTTAGAGCAACTAATGGCAGAAAATAAAGTGGCTTTCTTCAGGCTTTAGGTATTTTACTGGAGAAAGAAAGAGACACTAGATTTCTGGAACAGGAGGTGAGGGAATCTCACTATCGCTCACATGCATGAGCTGTTCAGCTACTCCGGAATCCAAACAGCTGGCACTCACAACTGGTTGCAGTTGCTCACACCAAATCAGCTACTTACTGCCAGCTAAACTTCACTTTGCATACACTCACTGGTGATGGACCATCTACAAAGAGCCTCCCCTATTGTTTGAATAAAACATCAGTGTGAATACAACTTAGAATGGGTTTCAATACCTTGCCTTTTCAAAGGGCAGCAATCCCTTCCACAATCTTTGTTTTTAATCTTTTCTATTTAAGGCCACAATTAAAAACATAATAATAAGATGTTGTCTTTATAGAATTTGATGTACCAGGTACATGGGTTGTCGGGGGGTGGCAATGGGAAGAGATATAGGTGTGCTGTTATGAGAATATGGAGCAGATAGAACTGCATATGAATGATTTTGAGTATTGGATATTTTGCAGAATGAGAAGAATGGAAAATCAACAAGTCACCAATGACAGTACAGAATTTCAGTGGTAATGCTGTTAAGTTATGCAAAGAGCTGAGTAATGCTCCAGGTTTGGAGTTCGACGTAACACAGTGTGGAGCTGGAGGAACACAGCAGACCAGGCAGCAGAGGAGTAGGAAAGTTGACCTTTCTTCAGAAATATAGCCCCATTTTTGAAGGGTCCTGAACCGAAACGCCAACTTTCCTACTCCTCTGATGCTGCCTGGCCTGCTGTGTTTCTCCAGCTCCACACTGTTGTCTCAGACTCTAGCATCAGCAGTTCTTACTGTCTCTGTTGGAGTTAGACAGAATGTTTAGAATTCAGTTGGAGATCAAACAAGATCAAGATTTTGGGAATAGTCTGGTTGAGGATGAACATATAAAACAATCTTAATAATAAAACCAGATGTTCAAGTAGAGCATTCTGGAGCGAAGACAAAAATAGTTAAATTAATTTTGGGTTAGTTTAATGCACATAGACTAGATGGAGTTCTGAACCATATTAGCCAGTTTTCTAAACATTAAGCAAAATTATGTTCAGACATTATAAAAGGAGAACAGTCTCGTTTAACAATATTACAGGAAATAAAATTACCTTGTAGTTATCTGCAACTGTAAACACTGTTGTGACTTTATTTGCAGAACAGACAGCAAGGGTTCCACCATCAGGTGAATAAGACAATGCAGTCACAGGTCCCAAATGGCTTGGAGACAGAACAGAGTGTTTTTGCAGTGTAGTACCTTGAATCGAATATAGATGCACACTGGAATCCTAATGATTAAGGTAAACACAAATCAAAGTTTAAAATTGAGAAAAACAAACTTTGATATTCAGCTTTTGTTTTGTAACAAGGCAGACAGTAATGAAACCCCTTCCAACTGTCAAACCTGTACCAATTCTTTTGTATTATGATGTACTTCTATAACTGATGCACTTCATTTTTGAAAGATCAACTCAATCATGCAAATGGCAGCAAATTTAAATTAACTTTACAACCAGAAACTGAATATTTCAATAGAGCATTAATTATCCCTGAAAATTGAAAAGCAGAGAACAATATTAAATTTCACAGAAAGATGAGAACTTTAGTGAACTTATACTGTGACGATACTATGGTTTTTAAGAGTAGTATTTTGTCCTGGTAGCTGTTTTTTAAATAAAGAAAAATTGAGACTAGGTTACGAGCAGTCTGCTCAAAGTCAATAAAGAAAACAACTTGTGAGGGCTTGGTTCTTGGTTCTTTGTTCTTTCTTAAAAATGTTGGAACAATAGAAGTAGCCTGAATGGGTGGGGTCATGCTCTCACACAGAACGAGGACTTTGAGTTTTAGCTTTCAGCAGTTGCTGGGATCTTGAAGTTGGATGCGGAAGCTCTTATTCCTCCTTGTTACAGCTAAAAGCCGGAGTTCTCTTCCTGCTGCTAGAATTGCATGTGAAACAATCTATTTCAGGGCCTAAACTCTCCCATGCCGTAGCCCCCAACCCCAAACACCAGGCCTCGTTATCACAGTCTGCCATTACACACTACCTACTGTTAGCCACTAACTGTCCCCATTAATAGCTATTCACCCTCCTAGCCAGATTGTTATCAACTCCTTTGTCTGTCCAACTGTTCTTCTCTCTCTTTGGACTCAAATTCCAATTTATTGTTTACTTCTTACCACTGTCCCCCAAACCCCAATCTTCTGCATATAAACCAACATTTTCCTAGCTACCATTAGTTCTGAGGAAGGGTCACCGGACCTGAAACGTTAACTGATTTTTTTCCCCCCACAGATGCTGCCAGACCTGCTGAGCTTTTCCAGCAATTTCTGTTTTTGTTCCTATTTTATTGAAAATATTACATTTGTGTTTATGGGATGTTACTATATTGGAACAGTTAATTAGTAATAGTTTATACATACTATTTTGTTAAGCATTTCAATAGAGTTGCAGTTAAGCCAATTCTTTTGTCTGCATTTTAACTGTAGTATACAAATAAGTGTGAGCTCTCTTAAATTTGAGTAGTTTGACCAATTGAATTGCATCTGGACACCTTATACTTACCTATGAAGAAGTTAGCCTAGACCCTATCTTAATATATTCTGAAGGAGTTTGTATTGATCTGTAACAATACTAAAAGCATATTACTCCAATTCTAAATAAATACGTTTTCTGAATATGGTAAAAATACTTTTAAAATTTAAAAAAGAAAAGACGTTTCTTACTTTTCCTCCTACTGCCACAGTTACTCCACCAGGATGAATTGCTGCACATTCTGGTTCATAATCAAGGTTCTCAATCATAAAAACCTTCTTCTTGTCCTTTAGCAGTACAATCTGTACACAAGAGTATATTTAGTAACCTTCTTGTAGAAGCTCTTGGTCGCAGCTTGAGCATTAACAATCAAAATAACAGTTTGAATTTAATGTGGTAGAAATTATTGTGCTTTTATTAAGTTTTTTTTCATTGAACTGGAGACAGAAGAGGCTTTGGTACATTGTACATTTCATTTGATGGGAGTCGGTGGGGGGGGGTTGGCGGTGGTGGTGGAATTCTGCTGCCTGTATGGTTGGTTTACGATGCAGAGTAAGCATTGGTTCAATTCCCACTTGCTGAGGTTATCATGAAGAGTCCTTCTTCTCAACCTCTCCAATCGCCTGAGGTGTGGTGAGAGTCAGGTTAAATCACCAATTACCTCTCTCTGATGAGAACACAGACCTATGGTCTGGTAGGACTAGGGCAAAGTTTTACATTTTATTGTACAATAGCCAAAAACACTGTTACATTTCACCTTCTATTTTATACTGTTAAGATTAAAATTTTGTATTTGGATTAAAAAAGCCCCGCATTTCAGTAATACTTAGAGAAAAACTAAAAGTTCACACTTATGCACAATAAGATGCTATATATTACAAACACTTGAAGCAAATCTGATCAGTCTACAAAAGAATCTTTAAAAATGTGTTATTACAGATATCAGATGTGAAGTCACAATATCCACTGTAGGTAATAGTTTAAAACAAAATTACCTGCTCAATGCAAATGACCACTGTGTAGCCACTAGGACCAACTGCCACATTCTTAGGTTGAGTATCCATCTTTACTGCATTTTCAGGTCTACAAGAAAAAGATATTCATTAAGAATATTAAGTTGATAGAAAATTTAGACCAATACTGTTAACATTAGACATAAAAATCACAGAACCATTCCAGCACAGGGAGGAGCCACAGTTGGGCCATTGCAACTGTCCAGCTCTCAATGAGAAATTCAACTTCTTTTAAAATTCACCCATAGAATGAGAATATTGCTGGCTATGCCAGCATTTATTGCCCATCCAGAGGGTAGTTAAGAGTCAGCCACATTGCTGTGGGTCTGGAGTCACATGTAGTCCAGACTAGGTAAGGATGGCAGTTTCCTTCCCTAAAGGACATTTGTAAACCAGGTGGGTTTTTGACCATTGACTATGGATTCATAGTCAGACTTGTAATTCAAGATTTCTGCCGAATTCAAATTATACCATCTGCCATGGCGGGATTTGAACCTAGATCCCCAGAACATTATCATCTCGGTCTCTGGGTTAACAATCCAGCAATTATACCACCAGGCCATCACCTCCCCAAGTGCCATTCCCCATCTTTCCTGAAACCTGTGCATTCCGAGGGGTAATCCAATTTTCTCTTGAATGTGTTGGAAGCAATCAGGACAATACCAGGCAGTACATTTCAGGTTTTAATGACCTGCTGCAGTTTCTCCAATGTCTCCACTGTTTCTTTATCCAATCATCTAAAAATTTGCTTCCTTGAATTCTATCCTTCTGCTAATGGGAAAAGCTTTTCCCAATTTACTGTGTCCAGAATATTCTTCATTTTGAATGCTTCAAATTTCCCTTCAAGCTTCTCTACTCCAAAAGAAAGTCTTAACTTCTCCTATGTGACTGAAGGACCTCATCACCAGGATGACTCAATTTTCTCTGCACTCTCTCCATAATGCCTTAATATCTTTCCTGAAGTGTGATAAGTGCAAAATGCCAGATGAGGCCAAACTAGTGTTTTTGGTAAATCTGACATAACCAACTCGTTCTTATATTGACCCCCATAAGTTTAGAATAATGCCAAAAGTGAAATCCTTGGGGGCAAAATTCAAAAGGAAAAGAATTTCCTCCAAAGGAAAAGACAAAAGCATCAGCATGGGGATCATGATGTGCAACGGACAACGCTCATTGACTGCAATGCAGTCAGCATTTCACTTAATGCTTTGTGCTCGCTTTCAAAAATTTCAGTATTCATTCAATACTTGACTTTGCTACTGATTGCAACAGCCATAGGGACCTGAGTGGTTAGCATAATATAAAGTCAAAATACAAACAAATGCTTCAGTTCTGCTGAACATTTCTATGGACAAAGGAAGAGTTCATGTTTTTCGGTTTGTGACATTTCATCAGATCTGGAAATGTAATCTATTTCAGCAAATAAAAAGGGGCGTGTGTGCATGAAATGAATGCAAGAGAAAACCGGATGTGGAGAGTATAAGATATTAAATAGAAGCAAGACTTCATGTAAAACAGACTAAACAGTGGTATTGGATAAACAGACAATAAAGGGAATGGTGAATGTGTAAATGCTGGGAGAAAAGAAATTAATGGAAATAAGAGGAAAATGACAGAAATTAGCAAGATAGGTGCAGAGACTACGATCAATTCAGAAGACTGCAAATTACACAGTAGAAAAAAAAAAGTGTTGTCCCAAAGCATAGATGGAGTTTCATTGGAAAGCTGTAGGAAGCCAAACAGAAACATCAGAGAGGGAGAAAGGTCGAGAATTAAAATTATAGCTGACTGCATGTATCTGGATATTAATGTTCTCACGGCAGTCACCAAGCCTGCTTTTGGTCTCTGCAGTGTAATACAGACCACAGTGAGCAGTGAATACAGTATGTTAATTTAAAAGACATGCCAGTAAGTTGCTACTGCATCTGAAATGAAAATTTAGGGCCTCAGACAAATGTGAGGGGCAAAGTGAAATGGGTAGGTGTTCCACTACAGATGTTTGATTAACAAGAAAGCAGAGAATTATGAAGTACAAGCAAAAGTGGCATTCAGGCCAAATTTGATCAGCTATGTCTTATTGAATGGCACAGTAAGTCTGCACTTATGTTTTAGTAACTATTGATTGATTGATTGATTGATTTCCTGCCCTTAAAGAAGTTGGGCTCTGAAGTTCTTGGAAATTGGATTGTGGCTTTGGAGGAGAGATTAGAAAGCAGGACAAAACGTCTTGTAACCACAGCAGCCAGAAGGTCCTCTAGATACACAATCAGAAGACAGCAGAAGCAAATAACCACGGAGGCCAATACCCAGAGTCAATCTCAGAGTATCTGAATGTTGATCTTAACACTACCAAGTGTCTTTCATCTAAAAGTTTAGTTTGCACAAAAAAAAAAACAAACAGCTGCAATTATAAGATGTACCCTATCCTAATCCATGAGGCAATCTTAAAGGAATTGCCCAAAGCAACAAACAGGCAGAAGAATATCTAAAGAAATGATTGAATTCTTATGGCAATGGTCACATTATTCAAAATATAGAGGAACATGTCATTTTGGTCCATTTCAGGATTAAGTGCCACAGAATTGGAGGCAAGTGTTAACCACAGGTGAACAAGTACACTGCATATCCTAACTCCTCCAGAGGAGACAATGCCGGTTAATGTCGGTAAAATCATTTACTGAGGTCTTGACCAGTGAAGGGGTTAAAACTAAGCATAACCTTATCATCTCTCCTGGCATTCTACCTCACCTCTATCCAATGTATCCTTCTGATTTATGGTCAAAGCACTCACCACCTCCAGGCCACAATGTTACTCATTCATCTTTCAAACAGCCAAGTAGTGCAAGATTGCCGATCAGTGGAGCAACATCAAGAGGACAGTGAAGATTTAATTAATAGGGAATTATGGTGTTGCACTCAGCCGAGTTGCTTGAACCCCAGCTTGAAAGGATGCATGTAAATTGGACAGCCCCTTTCTCTTTCATCACTTTAGTCACTGAGGTGTACTCCCAGGAGGGTGACAGCAACAACATGCAAGAAATTATTGTCCTCTCAAGATGATGGCATTCATCTTTCCACCCTGCCAAAAACCTTTGCAGGTGACAAGCCAGCCCAGATTGTCTTGTCCAAAGCAATATTGGACGCAGTAGGGGTAAGCCCAGAGCTGCTATACAACAAGGTTTAAGGAAAGTCTCCTCTTCAATTGAAAGTCAGCAGCCTTCCAATATATTCCATAATTTGACACTGGTGTCCAATTTATGTTGATTGATGTTATACTTCACGCAGTATGTTGCATTCTTCAAGCAGATGAATAACCTCTACCTTTGTGCCAGAAGACCGATGTCCCACCTGCTTCAGAATTATCATTATGTAATAGATTATTGCCACCAAAATATGTCCAAACAGATTTATTAAAAGCCTTTTACTAACAATATCATCCCACAGCATCTGGCTCGATTTGCCTCAAGTATGTGCTTTTGTTAAGAATGCTATTTTGGAGTTCTAAGGGCAATTGTATTGTTTAAAAAAAAAAAACAAAACAAAAAAAAAACAGGTTCAAATATGAATTGCTCACACTCTACTCTTAACATGAAAATGGTAAGTAACACACAATGAGTGTGTACGGTGCATCACCATATTTGAAGGTCTTTTATAGAGTTTGAAATAGTGACCTGTATTATTCACCTCCAAAGTCTCTTTTCTTTTATCCAGCTTTGTGGAACTCCTTTTTAGAAATTTCCACCAATGGGTTCCCTTCACCTTCACCCTTAACTTCCTCCTTCACATCCTGTCCATTGGTGACATTGTGCATACCAATGAGACTGGTTTCTGCATTTACCACTCACTCCTACACTGCACTTGATCCAATCTACTGTGTTTGCTAAATCTCAAGCTTGCTCTTATTAAAGATGAGGAAGGCTAAAATTAGTATATTGGCTCCTATTATAATTTCCACTCCTTTGGTACAACTCCATTCTCCTTCCTTACCTGCAAACTGTTCATAGCTATGACAACTTATTTGACCCAAAAGATGATGTACCAATCCCAAAGTCTATGTTAGGGGTGTTAACCAAGTGCAAGCATTGTTAACAGGATGTTTTGAGTCATAAAAGTTCGTCACTCAACAAAATTTCAGGGAATATAGAAGACAACAACAAAACATGTACAGCACAGAATCTTACTTGTATTCTTTTGAGCGCAAACAAGTGAAACGGACTGTATCATCCATACTGCAAGAGACAATCTCATTTGCGTCACTGGCCACCATACATGACACTTGGTTCGTATGTCCTTTCCCTGCAAAAGCATCATTCTCTCCAGTTTCAGCGTTCCAATCAGGTGAGATCTTATCAGTCAAGGAAATGCAAAACAGAACTTTTGCCAAATACATTCAAAAATTTTTTACTTGACACACTTGAAAGGGGCAGTACTATTTCAGTAGAGTCTCTCTGGACTGGACTGGGCCTAAGTATTTCTAAATGTATGGGTTTTTGTTTTTACAAACCAAAAAAAATTCAATGGAACAAAAAAAATTTACATCTTTGATTATCTTTAACGAGCGAAGGGATTCAAGAATTAGCAGTATTACATTTTAAAAGGGGTTAGGATAAAGCGCCATAGGTTGTAGGCTTTGAAAACATTCAAAATTCAGAAGAGACAAAAATGGTATTATTGACTGGCCACGTAACAAAGACACTGATCAGCGAAGGAGTCTGAGGCACTAGACAGTAGGATGTCTGTCATGCAGATAATAAGAACAAAAATAGTCACCTAGCCAATGCCTCTGAATAAGGTCTGGTACTGAGGGGAAAACTTGCTTAGCAAGTCCTTAGCCAATGAGGTTGAGAAAAGACAAGCCTTCCAGTCAGGGCAAAGCATAATCGGATTATTTTTGACAATATGGCATGTCACCAACTTATGAACATTTACTTTTAAAGTCTCCCATCAGAAAGAGGTACAAACCTGTGAAATATGTTCAGTTCTGACTACAAGTACAGCAGAAAATGTTGGAAATACTCAGTGCAGTCAGTATCTTTGAAGGGAGAGCACGAGAGTGCAAAAGAGTTAACGTTTTAAGTCATTGTGTTTTGGTTTAAAATTTCCAGTATCTGTATCATTCAACTCTTCAGATTACAGGAGTCTTATGGTTAAATTCTTAGTTCATGTCATTGTATAATTGCATACTGAAAGAATGACCAGCACTGTTATGCATGACATAATAATGAACACTTGAAACCATTAAAACAATATCTTTATAACAAAATGATGTGGTGTTACCTTACAGAAAATGAAAAGCTACTCATGAAAACATCTAGTACCAATTAAAGACAACCAAAAGATAAAAGCAATGTGGATCATTTTTGAAGGTTATTGCACCAAATTGAGATAGCACATATTCCTAGCTAAAACTAACATGATTCATAGACTCCAATGCAATAAATCAAATCTTTCCCAAAAAAAACAGTTCTATAAAATCCATTAAATTCGTATTACCATGACTATAACTTTACAAAGGCTAATATTTTAATTACACTTTGTGGGCCCATAAACCTTGTGCTTTGGCACAGAAGGAAATAAAAATAAGCTTTATTATATTGCCTGAATGGAACAAAATACCAATTCAGAAATTAAGAACTAAATGGGATGACAGCAAGCAAAGAGGTATTTTCTTTCTCAAACCTAGCTTCTTTCAAAAACCCCTTGGTTGTTAAACATCACAACCAATTCTTCAAATAGTTGCAATATTTAATGGTCACAAACTGGTATATTTTGTTTTAAAAGGCAAGGAAAATTGTGTATTAATTCAAAATAAAAAAAAAAGGTGGAAACGCTTCACTGTCCTGGCAGTGACTGCGGAGCAAATGAGAAACTGGTGACTGGCGATCACCAACTTGAAACATTAGCTTGTATGCTGCTACAGAATATTTTCAACACTTGCAGTACCTTGCTTTTGCATCATTAAGTCCAAAAATTCACAAATGTACCTCCTTAAGCTGGCACTCTGGCATGTTTTGAATGATTTTCCAAAGAAATCACAGTGCATTTAGATTCCTGGAGTTGTACTGACAGGTAAAGAGGTAGTCCATATTCTTTAAAGTGTCTGTTCTTCATATCATTTGACATTGCAGAGCACTGTTTAAAACATTTAAAAACTCCCACACTGCCCCGACAAGTGAACTCCCTGGTCTGGTAAATGCTACACAGTCTGACAAAGGTCCTGCCACAAGGCTGTTCAATTACTGAGATACAACCTGGTAACTAATAATTATAGATTATGTTTCTTAAAAAGTCATAAGGATGGAGGAATTGGGATAATAAAGACATGGAATAATTTTGTCTAATAACTTCTAAGTTATCTGCGAAAGTACCAAACTCTGTAGCCAAAGCATTCACCAAGCTGACAAACTTAGAAGTGCATTTCAAAAAGGATATTGATATGGCCATCATGGCTGCCAGAGTAGATGGAACGCTTCCCATCACTGGTGTGAACAGTCAAGGCCTGAATTGACTTACTGTGCCCCTATAAGATAAAAAAAAGATCAAAATAGTTTCGTATTTATTTCGTACAAATCCATTAGTCCAACAAAAATGATCATATGTAGTTGCTTTCATGACTAAAGCCAACTGTATAACTGAGTCAAATAAGTCCAACGTTATTCAAACAGAAAAACAATGTACAGCAAAAAAAAAGCATCACAATACCAAAATGTTTGATGCTAGTTAATGTTTGAACTGCAAATAGTTTATGATGTGCAGTTGAATAACAAGGACTAGATACAAGAGCTGTGCCAATTAGCCAATCCTGGGACAGTACTACAAATAACCTAACTTGGTTTCTGTTTTAATCAACAATCCAAGGTAAAGGCATATGAATAAACTTCAGACAAGGACAAGGTGAAGCATGAGCATGATGTGCCATGACTTGCATATTAAGAAATGACATGCGAGGAGCACTGTTCACACTGGATACTTATGAAGTTATGGCTGGCCAGTGATTTCAAGTACAGAAGATAGAATACAGGCAAAAAACAAAATGAATGAACAAATATTTGAGCCCATTCTTCTTAAATATTTTCCTTTAAACTAATGCTGAGAAACATTGAGGAGAATGCAAGGGAACTGAATGACACAGCAACTACATTTGGAAAATTTATAAGCCAATGTGTGTTCCCTCACATTAATACACATGAAAGATCCGTAAGCCAATACATTACTTACTTTTCAATCAAATGAATCATACTGAATCATGTACATGTACTTAATTTCTTTCCTATTAATGTATGTAAACTTGTTGTGAAGTCCCGAGTTTGTCTCAGGATAGTGAAAATGGTATCGAAGAACAACTTGATACTCTAAACAAAGAGCTACATTTTGGGTTGAAGACAGGATAGCAGAATGGAAAGACTAAGCCACAAAATTTTGCCAAAAGTCTGAAATGATGTTGGAGCTGTGAAGGAACCATGCTCCACTGTTTCTGTAATCATAAAGATAAAGGAGTTAGAGATACAACTTCCGACAGTTGCTGTGTTTCTTCAATTGTAACCACAAAAAGGTCAGAAGAAATACATCCATTGATGGCTTCAAAGACAATAACTTAATTAAAAGTAACTGGTCAAAACCAGGTATTACCTGATATGGGGCAGTTACAGCAAAGAAAGGAGTGCAAAGACAACTTCAGAAATAGTAGTTTGGTCACCTGCTCCAAAGCCAAGCCAGGAGATTTATTCGTGGATTGACCACTTAAGAAATACCTTGATGTGCAGGATTTCAAGGCCAGTGACATTGTCCCTAAGTGCTATCGCTTAAAGATTAATAAAGGTGTATGCGTTAAGTGGAACAGTATCCATGCTGTCGTGCAACAGATATCTGGGCCAGAACCTATAAAGTCACTAAGGGAGGCTGAAACATTACATGCCCTGCGTCATACAAAACAGGAGCGCACACAGACCATCTAGGCCCTTGAAGCATGCTCTGCTATTCATTAGGATCTGGATGATCTGTGTACATTTTGAATACCACATTCACATTGACATTCCCTCTTTTCATTCTGGCTGCACAGGAACCAAAAGTCAATACCATAATTGGCTTGCTGATGCTGATCTCCAGGATGCTGAACATCAGAATGACTATGCACAGTGCAGCTTAGAAGGAACGTTCATAACCTTTAATTCCCTTGCTTAATGAGAGTTTACCATGTCTTAAATATTCAACAATCCCATCTTCACCACCTTCTGAGGCAGAGTTCCAAAGTCTCTCAACCCTCATTTTTCATCTTTTAAAAGAGTATCTTGCCCTAGTTCTGGACTGACCCACAAGAGGAATCACGCATAATTCAATCAACTCTCTTTTATTCACAGAATATTACACTTCAAAGTTGTTTTAAAAAATTGATTAAATATGACTTCCCATCCACAAAACCAAGCTGACACTTCTCACTTATCTTGAGTTTTTCAAAGTGTGCAGCTGTAATTGCTTCTATGATCAAATCTAATGCCATGGGGAAGATATATTGTCAAACTAACTGGCCTGTCAGCCTTCCTTCTTGAACAGAGGGTCATACTTATTACTTCCCAGTCTGGCAGAATCTTTATCTGAATATAATGAATTTAGGAAAATTGACACCAGTGCATCTACTACTTCAATTTAGCAACCTCTTGAGACCTTAGAATGAAGTCCAACTGGACCCAGAGATGGGTCAGCCCTCTGCAGCATTATTCAAATATTGGGTAAAATCTCAAATATACATCGTATTTTTAAGAATCTACACGAGTGAACAAAATAACTTCAAAATTCTTTTGGAAGGTTGAAATAAGTAGAATGACAGCAATAGAACTGCAGTGATAAGGTCACACTAATTTTGTTTGATTTTATGAATGCATTCTGATCAATTAAATAATAAGCAATCCCCTCATTATTGATAAAGGAGCAGTGATTCTTAAACAGTAAATGGTTGATGCAGATTACATAAACCAAAGACTGCCTTCTTGGGAGCCCAAGTATTTATTGCTGAAAACAGCATTTCTGACTAAGCACAGGCATTTTCATAGCATTAGGAATTAGCATAGAGAGTCTAGGGAGCCAATAAACTAAACTACTCACTCACAAGTCATCTGAATGAGTCTCTTTAGTACTCAAACCAATAACTTCCCTTTCAAATGCAAAGACTCTTGTTGCTCCGGTCGCAACCTTTAAATTGCAGCCACAAGCCCCAGCCTAGTCAGCCTCTCTCTACAGTTCAAACCCTACAATCCCAGCAGCATCCTTGTCAATCTTTTCTGAAGCCCCTCAAGGTTAACAACATCCTTCCTATAGAAGTCGACCAGAATTGTACGCAGTATTCCAAAAGTGGCTTCACACACGTCCTGTACAGCTGCAAAACATTCTAACTCCAATAGTCAATGTTAATAGCCTTAACCTACACAACATCTCTCAAAATGGCATTCAAGTGCACCTCTAAAATGAGGAATTTTCCTCACGGCTAGCACCAAGCAAGCATGAGGAAGATTAACGACTGATATCAGTAGGTCATAAAAATCCTAATATTTCACAGATTCAGTGTACTATTTTCTTTCCATTTGTTGTTCTCTTTGAATCTCCCTGAAAGAGATTCAGAAGAGGTATTTGTAGTCCAACATAGCTAAGTTCATATTGGCAGCCATGTAAGAAAACAGGAGTTCCCTCTGAGCTTCGAGTTAAAAGAAAGCTAATTTTCATTCAGCATTCATTACTAACGTTACTGGGTCCAAAAGGTTGCACAATTAAGCAGCTCTCTCAGGATTAAGATCATTTCAGATCATTTTTATGTCAAGAACGAACAGTATCACAACATGCATATAATAGCTCCTCCCTCTGACAACCATTAATCGGATTTCTTACATAATGAATGGTACTTGGATGACAACAATGAAATAAAAATTTCACAAGTTACATTGATAAAATTTTTAAAAAGACAAATACAATACAAAATATATTGAAACACCAATTTTCACAATATCTAGGGAGCATTTGCGAATATGTTTCTGAACGGAAACAAAAGTGCCAATAAGACAGGTCATCACAGTACAAATTATGGCATTTTAATCTGCAATGTTCTCTGTAAAGGACAAATGTTTCTCTAATGTTTATAACTCAAGAGAATTCTAATCATATTAATCTCTTTATAAAAATAGTTACAGGTGCTCAGGAGAATTTGTTTCTTCATAAAAGAAAATCTGAATTATAGGAACTTAATGGGGAAAAAATTTCTCAGCAAATTAAGCAAGACCTTAACTTACAGTCGAATGCAATCAATCAGTTCATAAAACCACATCGTGCAACATCTGTCTGCATCAAGGCTATTCAAGTTTGTTTTGAATTGTATACATCTTAAAAATATATACACTTCACAAAAAGGGGTGAGCATATAAATTGCTGAAGCATTAAGACAAAGCCAGTTATCTTAAAAAAATCCCAACCTCAGCCTCAAAGCTTTACTTCGCTGTTGCTTGATCTATTTGTAGCAATTGGTCTAAATCAGCTCTAGCTTTATCATGTGAACTGCAGCATCCCGGACCCAAGTTGCCATTCTTTTGAAGTTAATATATTCAAATCTGTGCTGAATGCACAAAAACATACAAAGTTTCAGTCAAGTCAACTGGATAGTCTGTGTTGGACAGTCTGTATTTTATGCATCTGTATTATTTGCATTATTTTGGAATTAAACTAATTCATAGTATAATACACAAAGCAAACACACAGAGTGGTTAGGACTTGATGCAAACAGATTGCATAATCAAAACAATCTGGCAGCAAACAAGAGGAGCAACAAAATTAAAAGCAAAAAAAGTTGTGGATGCTGGAGATTTGAAGCAAAGGCAAATTTCTGGAGATACTCAGTAAAGTCTGCCAGCATATGTGGAGAGGAAAACTGTTAGCATTTCAAGTCTGATGACTGCTCTTTAGAACTGAGCAGTTACGTTGATTGTATTCATGTTTTTCCATTCCTCCTCAACCTTCCTTTCCAACTCTTTCATACAACATCTTAACTCTGACAGACTAAAGACCTTCCCACAACCAGGTTCAAAGTACAGCTCCATAGGTTTCTTTACAACTCAGCATTCTTTTAAGTCAACAAACTAGCTAATTGCAGGTGTGGACAAAAAAAAAAGCAATTAACAATATGGATAATGAAAATCAAATTGACAGGAAAGGACACAGCAGATTAACTGCTGCTGCAGCAACAGCCAGAGATGCAACAATGGTTAAAACAAATAACAAAATCGACAGTTCAGTATCTCAATGTGAGCAGAATGAAAAACAAAATGGAAATGTTCACCTGCACATCTGCTAATGTGGTCTATTGTATCTGCTGTTCCCGACGTGGCCTCCTCTACATCGAGGAGACCAAGCGGAGGCTCAGAGACTGTTTTGTGGAGCACTACACTGTTCGCAACAAACAACTCCCCCTCCCACTCCCTGAAGGACATGTCCATCCTGGGTCTCCTCCAGTGTCACAGTGATGCCACCCGGAAACTGGAGAAACAGCACCTCCTATTCCGCCTTGGAACCGTACAATCCAACGATCTCAATGTGGACTTGACTAGCTTCAAAATCTCCCCACCCTGACCTCATCCCAAGACCAGCACTCCCTCCTTGACCTGTCCATCTTCTCTCCCACCTATCCGCTCCACTATCCACTTATCACCACCCCCCATTTCAGAGCCCCCTTCCCCTCCCCCATTTCTGAAGGGTCCAGACCTGAAATGTCAGCTTTCCTGCTCCTCAGATGCTGCCTGGCCTGTTGTGTTCCTCCAGCTCCACACCTTGTTATCTCAGACTCCAGCATCGGCAGTTCCTACTATCTCATGGAAATATTTGTGACTTGCTTCCATGAAATAGCAAATAAGTTGATCAAGGTTGGGCCTAAATGTTCGTGCGTAGTTGGCATTTCAGAAGGACAGGAAGCTAGATAGTGAGGTAGCTCTGTAAAGTAAGAGCAATATAAATACAAGATACAAGAATGAGAGATGATTTTAGACTTAATTTGGGTAGAGAAAATAAATTACAGCAATGGGAAATAACTTATAGGAAATAGTTTATAAAACACCCCAACAGTAATTGCACTGTAGGATAGAGTAAACAGGAAGAAACATGTGAGCTTCCAAAAAAATACTAATAATCATGGATGATCTTAATCTTCATACTGACTCCCATTCTGATTTGTGCAGAGTACATAGGTTCACAGCACAAATATAGGACAATTTCTTAGAGTATGTTCTGGAGGCATCCAGTCAGCAGGTTACAAAATACTTGGCTATTTGTTCTGAAGCAGGACTAAATGACCTCAGCATAGAACATGTCTAGGCAATAGGGATCACAAAATTCTGAATTTCACATCCAGTTTGAGGGGGAAATGTGAGTCGAAGACTACCATTTAAACTTAAAGCCAATTACAAAGGGCATGAAGACCAAGCTGGCTTAAGTGAAGAGAAAATATTTTTAAAAGTGTAGGACAATAGAGCAGCAGTAGACATTTAAGGAATTATTTCTTAATTTTCAAACATATATTCCATTGAGAAAAATAGCAATATTAATGGTTAATAAAGTTGATGATACAAATTAACAGAAAAAGTAATAGAAGGCAAAAACTAATGAGAAACAAAACCAGAGTGGTTGCTGGAAAAGCTCAGCAAGTCTGGCAACATCTGTGAAGGAAAAAGAAGTCAATTAATGTTTTGGGTCCAGTGACCCTTCCTCAGCATGCTGGAGAATCAGTGCAACAATGATTTGCAACATGCTGTTGAAAATGTTGCAACTAATGTTATGTTCCAGCAGAGGATTGATAATTCAATTACTTTGCTTTTGGTGGCACTTATAATGTTTAAGCTATTATTGCTGTTTTAAGAGTTATCATACAGTAAGTTTTCGTGCACACATGCGTGCACTGAGTATGGCATTAGCTCAGGGTCCATATGAAAACAGCATAAGTGTAACTTTGCGTGTACGAAGTAGTCCGAAACAGCACATTTAAATCTCTGTCGAATTATTTTCTTCTTGCCTAGTTTTGGATGACGATGCTAAGCAAAGTATGCAAATTCAATCCAGAATAAAGCAAAACATTGGCGTAAAATAAGTAAATATTTCAGAGAAGTTTTACTTATGTACCAAAAATAACATTTAACCTGTTCTCTCTCCACTCACATTAAAATAGGCTCCCTCGTGTTGAAATCCCCCATCCTAGGGAAAAGACATCTATGCTCTCCATGATTTTATAAATCTTTAAGGTCACCTCTCAACTTCTTATGCTCCAGTGAACAAAGTCCCAGCCACTGTAGCCTTTCTTTGTAACTCAAACCTCCCATACCTGGCATAATTCTGGTAAATCTCCTCTCTACCATCTCCAGCTTTATAATATCCTTCCTGTAACAAGACGACCAGTGCTGGACACTGCAGAGGATGCCTCCCCAATGTCCTATACACCTCAACATGACTTCCCAACTCCAATATTCAAAGGACTGAGCAATAAAGGCAAGCATGCTAAATGGCTTTTTAACCACCTTGTCCATGTGTGATGCAAACTTAAAATTATGTACCTGAACCCCTGGGTATCTCTGTTGTACAACACTATCCAACATCCTACAATTAATTGTGTAAGATCTGCCCCTGTTTGTTGTACTAAAATGCAATACCTTGCATTGATCCAAATTGAACTCCATTTGCCATTTTTCAGCCCATTGACCCATTTGATCAAAATCCTTTTGTAATCTTAGAAAACCTTCTTCGCTGTCTACTATGCCATCAGTTTTGGTATCATCCACAAACTTAAAAACCATGTCTCTATATTCTTATCCAAATCATTTATTAAGTGACAAACGAGGACTCAAAACGGATTCTGCGGAACACTGCTGGTGTCAGGCCTCCAGTCCAAAAAGCAACGTCCTACCACCACTCTGTCTCCTGCCACTAAGCTAATAATGTATCCAACTGGCAAGCTCATCCTGAATTCCATGTGACCTAACCCACTAATTAGTCTACACAGAACCTTGTCAAAGGCTTTACTAAGGTCCAAGTAAACAACGTCTACTGTTCTGCCTCGGTCTTTTTGGTAATTTGCTCAAAAAAACCGAATCAAGTTTGTGAGATGCGATTTTCCTCAAACAAAACCATGATGACTATCCCTATTCAATTTTTGCCTCTCTAAATCATAGATCATAGAATAGAATCCTTACAGCGAGGAAGTAGTCCCTTCGGCCCAACAAGTCCACACTGAACCTCAGAGCATCCTGCCCAGACCCATCCCCTGTAAGCCACCTAATCTACACATCCCCGAACACTACGGCCATGCGAAATTGCCCAATCCACCAAGCCTGCACATCTTTGGACTGTGGGAGGAAACCAGAGCACCAGGAGGAAACCCACGCAGACAGGGGGTAACGTACAAACTCCGCACAGACAGTCACCCGAAGATAGACTTGAACCCGGGTTGCTGGCGCTGTGAGGCAGCAGTGCTAACCACTGAGCCACCGTGCCACCCTATTATTTATAAATCCTATCTTTTAGAATTACCTCCAACTTACCCATAACTGAAGTCAGACTCATAAGGTCTATAGTTCCCTGGTTTCTCCTTAGAATCCTTCTTAAAGGCATAACACATTAGATACCCTCCAGTCATCAGGCACCTCACCCATAGTTACAGATAATGTAAGTACGAAATTTAAAAAAAGACATGAGGGGCAATTTTTAACATCAAGGTGATTTACATGTGGAATGAATTTTCTGAGGAAGTGGTGGGTGTGGGCACCGTTACAACGTTTAAAAGACACTTAGATAAGTACACGGTAGGAAAGATTTGGAGGGATATAGGCAAGGTGCAGGCAGCTGGGGCTAGTTTAGTTTGGAATTATGTTCAGTATGGGCTGAAGGGTCTGTTTCTGTGCTGTATGACTATGTAGTAGAACAGCACTTTTTGCAATAGGTCCATAGGAGATGAACTTAACAGCTACTCTATCACTTATGAATGGTTCCACAAAATGAATGGTCACAACGATGGATTACCATAAAAAAAAAAGTGAACATCTCTGAACTAAGACACACCATCATGACAGAATTCACTCAGTACTTTAGAATCATTACTGGGATCCAACACGACTAGCAAGTTCAGTACCTTGAGGACACGGAGAGGCTTGCTGGGATTTGCTTTATCCAGATAGTTAATGTAGCCAGAAAGTGAAATACTCAGCATGTGATCGTTCTGCCACAAGCAGCCCAATTGTTGATCCAGTACATCAGACCCCATATTAAACGTTGTCACTGCAGAGTTGGCTTCAACATCCCATAGTTTAACAGTCTTGTCACCAGAAGCAGAAATTAGGTGCGTACTATCAGAATTCCAACTAATCTGTAGGAGGCAAATGACAGAAGTTAAAATATAGTAGTTCAAACAATTAAACACATTAAAGTCACTGCCTTCTTATAACAGTTGCTAAAATCACAAGCAAGTCAACATACATACGATTTTCAAACTGTATACCGAATAGAACTTCAGTTAATAAATCAGGAATTTGCCACAGTATCACTGGCTTCAATGTGCTGCTTTATCAAAAAGAAAAATTACAAGAAATTTTAAGAAAAGTTTTAAATGAATTAGACACAGAATTAGGGAGATGTAATATAAATCTGAAATTTCCACTTGGAATTTGACTGTTTATATGTTAAGATGGATTAAAAAGCTATATAAAGTAACAAACATTAGCTTAACAAACGATTGAGGAGAATAGCTGCAGGCTCAATTAATCGAACATAGCAAGCAGACTTAATATCATAACCGATGGAGCCCAAAACAAAAACTTACGGCATATACACCTCCACTGTGGGCACTGGAGCCTCCAAGAGCACATATCTGATTTCCATCTTTTCCATTATAGATAAAAATCTATTATGAAAAATTACACACGACTTCAAAATGGAACACTAAAATACGTATTAAGAAAATATTAAAATTAAGTATGAAACTTCACAAGAAACTGCAAAATATATTTTTATGTTGAAATATCTAAAAGAGATGTGTGACTTAAGTGACACTAATGAGAATGAAGAAAACATAGTAATTTATTTTTTTAAAAACTGCCTTCCAAATTCTAAAGGAAAATTGAATTATCCTTTGAAACAACCATTTTGCAAAGATGAAGCCCATTAATCCAAACCTGAATTTGTTTGAAAATGGTAACTCTAAAAGTTTCATCTTAAAAGCTATAGGAAAATGCTAAGGAACTCTTGAAATCACAACTTGCCCGACTATTTACTTGGGCTCAAAAACTGACATTTACCTCCTTAAATAAGACCTAGGAAATAATTTTCCATATCCACAGGATGTGAACAACACTAAACCACAAGAACTGTTTCAAAATTGTTAGAAGTTTAGAATGTATTAAATTGCAGCCTAAATGCTTTATGACATTCCTGCATTTGTTTCAATACTTTCCTGCCTTACCAACTTAAAGTAAACAATGATTAATGGCAAAGATTAATTTTGCTGTCCATCAGGACCAACAGTTGCAGTTCAACAAAATACTTTATACTGTCAAAATTTGCAAGGTTTGTGCTTGAAATACAGCATTTTCAAAAGGTGCATTGTGGAAATATTTTTGATTACAATCTTAACCTAAATGATTGCAGAGCAAGAAATGTCTACTTCACAAACAGCGAGGTGCAAAGGCACAATATTGGCAAAGAAGGTAAATTATGTTAATTAGACAATTAACTGAACAATGACTAATTTAAACCATCCATCATTACACTTGTAACTGCATGGTGTTGCTCGCAGTTACCTTACTCAGTACAGGCCATTTAACTATGCTTCTTGGAAGTAAAAATTTGTTAAGTGGTGGAATCTGCATACTTGAATGTATTGTCCTAGTTAGTCATACCATACAGAGGAATGACAAGCCATTTCTCTAAAGACACAAACTGATAAATAATTAACATTCATTGAAGTTATCTCAAGGATTTCATTCAACCAGACAGAAATATCCCATTACTGTACTGTAATCAGATGAACTTGTCATCTTTCAGAAAATGCCGAAGTAAATTGTGGTTGCTAAAGATTAAACACTGTGCCTTCTACAAGTACTACTAGATCAATAGTGGGACTGTTTTTATTTTTTGAAGATCAGTAGAGAACAAATTCTTTTTCCAGCATATATATTCTCAAAAAGTAAAATCAGAAGTGATCTCAGTACATGTTGAGGCGGAGGTCAGAGTACTGAAATTTCCACCCTGGAGCAATGTAAGCTGTTAACACATGCAAACTCAGAAATGAGACACTGTACTCTGGAATAATTTATGTCTAATCTTACCTGCCCATCTGCACCAGCTGATGCAAACTTGCTTCCATCAGGAGAATATCGTATGCAGTTAACAAACTTTGTATGGTTCTAAGGGAGAATCAGAGAAATACGTTTAGCAAATATATTCTACAAGTACAAGAAAAGTTATTTTTTTCTATGTGATATTTTAAGGCTTACACAAGTGTAAAGATGATGAACTTTAGATGGGCCATAACTAAAAAGTAAACTATGGTGTAAATAATTCTAAATTTTGCCATACAATTAAATATTTTCCTCAAAGAGATAGATTTGCCAGTGCTGTTGAGTGGCTATAAACTAGCTTCGGAGGAGAATGGGAACGTAAGAGGTAACCCAAATTGGAAGGTACTAAATATAGTAGCAAGAACTTGAAAAGATGCCAAGGAGATTAGAAGACAGGAGAAACAAAGCCAAGCATCAAAGATGCTTCCAAAGCAGAATGATGTCAAAGTTAAAGACACTCTGTCCAAATGCATATAACATTTGTAACAACATAGATAATCTAACTGCCATTACACAAACATAGCTAAATCATGACCCTTTCTATTCAAGCTGTCTTCTAGTTGTAGATTCCATTGAGTGTCTACCTGTCAAACCAGCTCAAAGTCTTATAGGTTTTAGTAAGATCACCTCTCATTCTTCTGACAACCAAGGCCCAATCTGCACAACATTGCCATGAGATGACGAGATCATCTCAGGCACCAAAAAACAAGTGAGCCTTCTCTAAACAATTTCTAACACTCCCCAAATAAGAAGCTCCCCACGTTCAAATGCAATATCCAGGTTTGGGCTGACAAGTGACATTTGCAAAGAAATGTCAAGCAATGATAGTCTCTTATTAGAGACTAACACTGTCCCTTGACAGTCAATGGTGTCCCCACTACTGAATCCTCCAAGAGCAACATCCTAGAGGTTACTGTTAACCAGAAGCTCAACAGGATTCACCACAAAGTGGCTACAAGAGCCTCTGAGACTAGGAATACTGTAGTGAGTAAACTCACTTCTTGATTCCTCAAAGCCTGTCCAGCATCTACAAGGCAGAAGTCAAGTATGATGGAATATTGCCCACTTGCTTAGATGGGTGCAACTCCAACAAGAAGCTTGCTACTATTCAGAACAAAACAGCCCACTTGGTCAGCACCACATCCGTAAGCATCCACTCCCTCTTCCACTGATACTTAGTGGAAATGTGGACTATCTACAAGATGCACTGCAGAAATTTACCAAAGATCCTCAGACAGCATCTTCCAAACCCAAGAGTATCACTATTCAGAAGGACAAGGGCAGCAGATACAAGGGAACATCTGCAATTTCCTCTCAGACACTCACCATCCCAAATTGTAAATATATTGCCATTCCTTCATTGTCAATGGGTCAAAATCCTGGAATTCCCTCCCTAAAGGCATTGAGAGTTAACCTATGGACTGCAGCAGCTCAGAAAGGCAGCTTACCACTTTAAGAGCAACTAGGGATGCGTAGAAAAGGCTGGCCAGCAAGTGAGTCAAGAACCACAACTGAATTATATAATAAAGACCAAACTGTGTACAGAGCATTAGGTAGCAAGACACTTACTTTATACTTCAACCACTTCCTTGCAATAAAGGCCAATATTCCATTTGCCTTTCTAATTCCTTGCTGCCTCCCTGCATCTTAACTTGTTGAGACTTGTGTACAAGGACAGTGAAATCTCACTGTACCGAGCAAGCTAGTCTCCCCAATTATAAAAAAAACTCTGCTTTTCTATTCTTCCCAAACTGGGAACCTAATTCTTCCACATTATACTATTTTGCCAAATTTTATTTTACTCTGAATCTACTTTTATCGACCGAGTCCTCTTCACAGCTTGCTTTCTAACCTTTGTACTTATGGCTTGGGCTGTAACATGAGAGGTCACTTTATCCAAGTAATTAAAACAAACTGTAAATAGTTGGGGCTTAAGCACTGATCCATGTGGCACTCCACTAGTTACAGCTTAACCTTAAATTAACTATTTCATCCTGACTGATTTTGGATAGTCAGCCAATGCTCTGTCCACATTAAATTATTAATCTCACCATTGTAAGTATTTACCTGTTATAACCACCTATTAGAAAGCAGATTATCAATTTTATTTTGGAAATCCAAAAATACTTACACCTTCTCTTTTCCCTTTATTCACTCTACCTGTTAAATCCTCCAATGAATTCTAATAGTTGTATCAAAGTTCACTTTCATAAAGCTACGTTGCCCCTGCTTGATTATATTCTGGTCTTCCAGATGTCTTGCTACTACTACATTAATGAATTCTGGCCTAAAAACTTCATGCTTTTTGCCTCGTTCCTTTCTTGAATAGATAGCTAAAATTTAGAGTTTTCCAATCCAGCAGGACCTTTCCAAGAGGGGGAATTGTAGAAGATTATAAAATGTTTTTCAATATTTCCAACAAAGACAAAACAAAGTTTTCTTCGATTTATCATCATTTTATTAATTTGCCAGTCTCATCCTCCATTGGCCCAATGAAGAAGGGTCTAGGCCCGAAACATCAGCCTTCCTGCTCCTCTGATGCTGCTTGGCCTGCTGTGTTCATCCAGCTCTATACCTTGTATACCCCGCTTTCTTTAGGTACTCTCTTTCTATATACTTATGGAAGATTTTATTCACTGGTTTCCTGCTTTCTTACCATCACATTCGTTTTCTTTAATTTGTATCATTCTTCTCTGGTTTCTAAATGTTTGTCAGGCTTCTGGACTAACTATTTTTTTGTATCATTGTATATCTATTTGAATTTGATCTCATCTTCCTTCCTTAGTTAGCCATGGACTGTTTATCCTTCTCGTACAGTCAATCAAGAGAATGCGTCTTTGTTGAGAGTCATGAAATATCTAGCAAATATTTGCCCCAGGTTTGCTCCCATTTTACCTTTTCATCCATTTTCTCAGTCTACATTAGCGAACTATGTAATCAATTATTCAAGACATTTTGGACCCACACATCTCAAACGGAATGTGAAATTCCAGGTTATCGTCACTTTTATCCAAAGGATCCTTGACTATGGTGCAATTAACTAGCCCTGTCTTATTCCACATTACAAGGTCTAAAACTGCCTGTCTCCTGGTTGTTTCATCATATAACATTCTAAGAAACTGACCTAAAGCCTACGAACTCATCCTCAAGATCAGTATTGCCACTTTGACATGTCTAAACTATAAGGTTAAAGGTCACAATTATTGCATTACATTTCTTACAAATCATCATTTCTTCATGTGAACTCTGTCCTATGTGTACTGTTGACAGGAAGCCTGTACATTACCTACAACAGTGACTTCTTTCCCCCACCCAAGTTAATCAGCAGCTTCATCTGAATAAAGTGATTTCTCACTTTTGTACTGATCTTATCGTGTTAAAAGTGCTACCCCCTTTTCTTTATGCCTATCCCTTTGAACCATCAAATACCCCTGAATATTCAGATCCCAAGCTTAGTCACCTTCATAACCTTATTATAATAGCAATCATATTATATCCATTGATTCCCATTTGTGTTGTTCAGTCATCCATCTCATTAAAAATACTGTATGGGGCCCTCTTGTGGTGCAGGGGTCATGTCCCTACCCATGGACTGAGACACCCAGGTTCAAGTCCCACCTGCTCTAGAAATGTTATTACACACCTCTGAGCAGGCTGATTAGAAAAATAGGTTCATTTGAAAAAATGAAATCTACAGATGGAGAGAGTCTTAAATTGACTTGCTACCAATTCCCCTACCATAATCCAATTTAGTACTGCACTCTATTGTATGCTTCATTCTTTGTAATCATTATGTAGTTGTTACCTCCACATCGTTGCTGTGTATTCTTATAGCTTTCTCAACCTCCCCTCTGGTGAAGACAGCACCTCCTGCTAAGTTATTTAGTTTAAAAACCTCTCTAAAGCCCTAGTTAAACAATTCACCAAGACACTGTCCCAGATATTTCAAGTGAAATACCTCCCAACATCAGTTCCATAATTCCCCATTACCACTGCTAGGAATCAAAAACCATTTCTCGTACATCAACCTTTGAGCCAGCCTCGCTAGTCTTGAGTGAGGTTGGGGGCGGGGGGGGGGGGTGGCATTTTTGTTTAAACATAATATTACTGCTGTACTTAGGGAGGATATTCCCGAGAATAATGTCCAGGGAAGTTATTTGGGTCAAACGGAGAAGAAAGGGATGATCCCCTTATTGGTGTTGTACTACAGATCTGCCCAATAGTCAGCAGGAAATTGAGAAACAAAATTGTAAGGTGATTTTAGTTATCTGTGAGAATAGTAGGGTGGTTATGGTAGGGGTTTTTAATTTTCCAAACATAGACTGGGACTGCCATAGTATTAAGGGCTTGGACGGAGAGGAATTTGTTAAGTGCGTACAAGAAAATTTTCTTCTGCAGTATGTGGATGTACCTACTAGAGAAGGCACAATGCCTAACCTAGTCTTGCGAAATAAGGTACGGCAGGTGACTGAGGTGTCAGTGGGGGAATCACTTTGGGGCCAGTGGCCATAATGCTATTAGTTTTATAATAGTGATTGAAAAGGATAAACCAGATCAAAAAGTTGAAGTTCTAAATTGGAGGAAGGCCAATTTTGATGGTATTAGACAAGAACTTTCAAAAGTTGATTGGGGTCAGACGTTCGCAGGTAAAGGGATGGCTGGAAAAAAGGACACATTCAAAAAGGGATAATGAGAGTCCAGAGATGTATGCTCCTATTAGGCCAAGGCTGGTAGGTGAGGGAATGCTGGATGACTACAAAAATTGAAGTTTTAGTCAAAAGAAAAAAAAAAAAAAAAGGAAGCATATGCCAGGTATAGACAGCAGGGATCAAGTCAATCCCTAGAAGAGTATAAAAGCATTCGGAGTATACTTTAAGAGGGAAATCAGGAAGGCAAAAAGGGGACAACAGCTTTGGCAAATAGGATTAAAGAATCAAGAGATTCTACAAATACATTAAGGACAAAAGGGTAACTAGGGAGAAAATACGGCCCCTTGAGGATCAGCAAGGCCGCCTACGTGCAGAACCACAGGAGATGGGGGGAGACACTAAACGAGTATTTTGCATCAGTATTTACTGTGGAGACAGATATGGAAGATAGAGAACGTGGGGAAATAAATAATGACATCTTGAAAAAAGTGTCCATGTTACAGAGGTGGCGGTGCTGGACATCTTAGAACAGATAATGGTGGATAAATCCCCGGGACCTGCTCAGCAGTACCACAGAAGTGACGGAAGAATAGCTAGGCCCCTTGCGGAGATATTTGTATCCCTGGTAGTCACAGGTGAGGTGCCAAAAGACTGGAGGTTGGCTAACATGAACCACTATTTAAGAAAGGTAGTAAAGAAATCCAGGGAACTATAGATCAGTGAGCCTGACATCAACGATGGGCAAGTTGTTGGAGGGACTCCTGAGGGACAGGATTTACATGTATTTGGAAAGACAAGGACTGATTGGGGATAGTCAACATGGCTTTGTGCGTGGAAAATCGTGGCTCACTAACCTGAGTTTTTTGAAGTAGTAATGAAGAGAATTGATATATATGGACTTCAGTAAGATGTTCAAAAAGGTTCCTCATGGCAGACTGGTTTGCACACAGAATAGAGGGAAAACTAGCCACTTGGATACACAACGGGCTCAAAGGCAGAAGACAGAGCGTGGTGGTGAAGGGTTGCTTTTCAGACGGGAGGCCTGTGACCAAGAGTGTGCCACAAGGATTGATGCTGGATCCACAGCTTTTTGTCATTTATATAAATGATTTCTATGTGAAAGAGGTATGGTTATTATGTTTAGAGGTGACACTAAAATTGGAGGTGTAATGGACAAAGCAGGTTACCTCAGAGTACAATGGGATCTTGTTCAGGTGGGCCATTGGGCTAAAGGAGTAACAGGTGGCATTTAATTTAGATAAAGGAGATGTTGCATTTTGGAAAGGCAAATCAGGGCACTTAATGGTAAGGTCCTAGGGGGTGTGGTTTAAAAGAGACCTTGGACTGCAGGTTCATAGTTCCTTGAAAGTGGAGTTGCAGGTAGATAGGATAGTGAAAGCGGTGTTTCGTACACTTTTCTTTATTGGTCAGTGCATTGACTATAGGAGTTGGGAGGTCACGTTGTGCCTGTACAGGACATTGGTTTGACCACTATTGGAGTATTGCACGCAATTCTGGTCTCCCTGCTACAGGAAGGATGTTGTGAAACTTGAAAGGGTTCAGAAAAGATTTACAAGTTGCCAGGGTTGGAAGGTTCGAGTTACAGGGAGAGGCTGAATAGGCTGGGGCTATTTTCCCTGGAGCCTCAGAGACCAAGCAGTGACCTTACAGAAGTTAATACAATCGTGCAGAGCATGGTACGTGTATGGAATGAGCTGCCGGAGGAAGTGGTGGTGGCTGGTACAATGCAACATTTAAACGATATCTGGATGGGTATACAAATTAGCAAGGGTTTAGGAAGGATATAGGCCAAATAGTGGCAAAATGGGACTAGATTTAGGATATCTGGTAGATCAAAGTACTGTAAATCTGTGACTCTGGCTATTATCTGATGCCAATTTACTGGTGGCAGTGAACATAACTGACCACTAGGTGCTACAGGCAAAGTCCATTCTAGACAACTCATCATACAGGTAAAAAAGTTAATATAAACCTAAATTGTTCTAATAAATAAAAACTACAAAATGGCTTAAAACTTAGCAAGAGTATACAATACTACAGTTATACTTTGCAACATATCTCTATGGTTTTAACTACATAGCAATAACTGGCCTATTCATTGCAGCATTACACAATGGTTTTGGAAGTTTAATATGTTGCTTACATTCATTGTAAACTTGAACTTTACAGGAAGTGCTTCAAAGAACACGCAGGTGTAATCATCACCACCAGTCACAACACGAAATGGTCGATTTGGCTTAAAAGCTATGCTGTTTACAACTTTACTGTGGCCAGTAATGGATCCTACAGACGTTCCTGTGTCCCACTGGAAGACTGCTCCAAATCTGCAATGATTGAAACATGGTAAATAGTTTTGTATTGTACAAACGGAAACAAAACATGTGAAGTACTTCGCCATTGTGCTGACCCAGCTTTCTTTCATTTTTGTTTCTACAAAGTCTGCACAGCTTCTGTAATGGTTTCTTCTACTTGATCCTAAAGTCATATTGGACATTTACAGGACTCTATTCTTACCCAGTTTGACAGCCACATACCTCTTCAGCGGCATCAGATGGGAGAGTTGATTTTCACTTGCATGCCAACAGCACTGTGCTCTCTCTGAAGCACTACTTTGGAAATTCAGCTAAGTTTATTAACCTCTATCTTAAACATACTTAATGACTGAACATCTCATCACTCTGGAGTACAGTAAGGAAATTTCACAGTGGTCAGCTCCTTGAATCATGTTGTGGATTTCCCAGCCAGGGAACTCTGCATCTATTTTATGAAGCCCCTTCAGAATGTTGATTGTTTCAATGAGCTCATCTGTCATGTTCTAAACTCCAGGCAACATGGAGTTGGTGCATTTAATATGTTCTCTTGGGAACAGAGAATTGTTCTTTGAACAAATCCAGTGAATAAGCACTGTACTCTGAGGCAAACAGATTATTCCTTATGTGATCAGATTAAAACTGCATAATACTCCAGGCATTGTCACACTGATTCTTTGTATGATTAAGGCAAGACTTACTTACTTCTACACTCCAAATCTTTTGTAACAAAGCTAATAAAACATTCAGCTTCCTAATAGTTTGCAACACCTGCAAGTTAACCTGCTGTTTCACGTCCAATGACACCAACAGGAACTTCTAACTGCCATTGTTTTCTAGTCTTTCACTATTCAAATATTCTGCATTTTTAAATTGCCAGTGGATAACTTCATTTTCAGTTACAATTTACTCGATCGTTCACATTCTTGTGCATTCACTCGGCTTGCCTAAATCCTACAGCCACATGGTCACCATTTATTTCCCCAACCAACTTTATATCATAAGCAAACTTGATTACATTATTCTCAGTCCTCTCAAAGTTATGAATCTACACAGTAGATAATGTACCTTCTATAAAAGCATCCTGCACATTTCGGAAAATTCTGTTTGCCCTATCTATAAAGCCCTCCATGTTACTGTAATACCTTTAATAACAGTCCCTCCTACTTTCATAATATATGCTTTGCTCAACACTACTACCTGTAAGGAGGCAGATTCAATTGTAACTTTTGAAAGAGAACGGAATAAGCAAACAACAAAAACAAAACTGCAGGGCTATGGGAATGATGTGGATAGAGGAGTGCGATTGTCTGAATTGCTCTTGCAAATAGCTAAAATGGACATGTTGAGCTAAAAGGCCTCTTTCTGTACGTAACCATTCTATGGCTTTATAAGCAAAACTCAATATTTTCTTAGCTCCGCTCATGATTGAGTCAAAATTCTCACTGGCTTTATTCGATACTTTATTTTCAAGGCTACGCTTCCTACTTTTCCATTATCTGATTCTATTCTTTGTCATTTGTAACCATGTCTTCATATAGAAATTTAACACCTCATCTATTAATTTGCTTCATATTATAAATAGATACAATCTTTAACACTGACTTTTTAAAAAAATGGGAGGAGGGGGTCCCTGATTTACGAACATCCAAATTACAAACAATTCCATACAGGGGTGTAGTTTTAAATATTTAACATACAAACATTTCCTATATTTACAGCTGGTTACTTTATATTGTCCTGCATTATGTTCTGACTCAAGTACAAATCAACATGCAAATTGACTCAAGAATGGAACCCATTCACAATCCAGGGACTGTCTGTTATCCCTGCTATTAAAGTTTTAATACTCTAACTTTGTTAATAGAAATGTAAACATGTAGAAATATAAGCTCTTTGAACCTGTTCCACCTTCCCTTCCTGATTTCCCGTTTATTTTGATCTTGCTACTTTTGAAGTTACCCTTTTCCTGAACTACTACACCATCAATCCCACCCTCACTTAGTAGTGCTTAGTATCCAGATATTTGTGTCACGGAGATCTCTGGAAAAAGTCTATGCTAAAAGTCACTACAGATATGTCATTCTAACTGTTTAAAGCATACTGACAATTCAGTGACTTTGTAATTATGCATTATTACAATGAATTGACAAGTCAGAAATAAACACCGATGACAGCAATATTTAAGGCGGAGATATTTTGTACCTAAATAAAAACAAGCTTTTTACTGGGACCAATGCATGCACTCATATTTTTATGCTAAAACTGCACTGTACAAGATTCCAAGATGGATGAACCAGTGCACAAGCAAGGTATTTCTTTCCCAAGACTTCTTTTGAAAATCAACTTTCACAAAACTAAGATGCATACTTTCCGTGAAAGTATCTTCATTTCTGAAAATTCTGTTTGTCCTATCAATAAGATTTTAAAGTCCATGTTACTGTAATGCATATCATAATATGCATGTACAGCTTTTAATCTATAAAACTATTAATTCAGTCATTACTTAAAGTTATACAGGAAAAAAAATTAATAGCTCACCAAAACATTCAATATTTCAAGCAAGGTAATCTTGGTACTGTACTTTAGTTAATTGAAAGCGATGGCAACTAAATCAGAAGGTTACTTTTTATTGGACAAAAGGCTGATATGCACTTCGAAATAAAATGTTCAAGAACAAACGTTAGGGTGCCCTGTAATTACCCATTATTCTGGACGACTACATCAAATTTAAACATTTGAAAAACATTTACCTCAGCTTTGGAAGTAGCTAGGAGTACTAAATCATTTCTCTACATACTGTAGAAAGACAAAAACTACCAATTGGTGACTTTAAAAAATGGTAAATGATTGAATTAAAATACATTTTTGCATCAACTACATTTCCAAATCTAGAATAACAGTAAGATCAACACTTCAGAATGCATTTTCATCCGGATTTCACAATTCTTGGCAGAAGCACTCTGCACCGTGCTTAATGCCCTACAGTGGTACATAACGAAAGCACCACTCAATACTATTGAATACAAACTCTTGCAGGGTGATAGGATTTCAATTTAAATCAGGTTGAGTTTAAATTTGTTGCTTTGATCGAATATTTTCGACAAAGTAGCAAGTCTGTACAGAATTCTTCTTTATATATCCCATATGCATATGTTCCTAATTCTGATCCATATATAGCTACACAGCTAACTGCTGTCCATGATACATTGTTTAATTAAGTGATAGCAATAAAATTCTGTGGCACCTCATTAAGGTAAGTATCAAAGTAACAATTTTGATTAGTAATCTCAAAGAAAGCATGCTTGCTAATTTCAAATGGTCCCAAGCCACTAATTACTTTAGAAGAAATTGTAGCTCTTCAAGGTACAGGCTGTAAAATATGAACATAGTTGCCGATGCCAACTTTGAAAATAATTTCCTTATGATCACAGGACATTAATAACTTCAACTTTAACCCAAACTGTAAGCTGAAAACTGTTGTTTTACTGCTAATAGGAATGTGCAAACGACAAGGCTGAAGCTTTCACAGCAATCTTCAACCAGAAGCGCCAAGCGGATGATACATCTTGGCCTTCTCTAGCCGTCCCCAGCATTACCGATACCAGTCTTCAGCCAATTCCATACACTCCACGTGATATCAAGAAATGGTTGGAGACACTGGGTAGTGCAAAGGCTACGGGCCCTTACAAAATTCCAGCGAAAGTACTGAAGACTTGTGCTCCAGAACTTACCACTCCCCTAGCCAAGCTGTTTCTGCACACTTACAATACTGGTATCTACCCGACAACATGGAAAATTACCCAACTATGTCCTGTACATACAAAGTAGGACAAATCCAACTCGGTCAATTACCTCCCCATCAGCCTACTCTTGATCATCAGTAAAGTGACAGAAGGTGTCATCAACAGCGCTATCAAGCAGCACCTGCTCAATGATGCCAGTTTGGGTTCCACCAGGGCCACTCAGCACCTGGCCTCATTACCACCTTGGTTCAAACATGAGCAAAGGAGCTGAATTCCACTGGTGAGATGAGAGTGACAGCTCTTGATATCAAGGCTGCATTCAACTGCATCAAGGAGCCCTAGCAAAACTGGAATCAATGGGTATCAGGGGGCAAATGCTCCGCTGGCTGGAGTCATACCTGACACATAGGAAGACGGTCGTGGTTGTGGCAGGTCAGTCATCTCGACTCCAGGACATCTCTGCAGGAGCTCTTCAGGGTAGTGTCCTAGGCCCAACCATCTTCAGCTGCTTCATCAACGACCTTCCCTCCATAAAGGTCAGAAGTGGGGATGTTCACCAACGATTGCACAATGTTCAGCACCATCCGTGACTCCTCAGATACTGATGCAGTCCATGTACAAATGCAACAAGATCTGGACAATAGCCAGGCTTGGGTTGACAAGTAACATTCACGCCACATAAATACCTGGCTACGACCATCATGAATAAGAGACAATCTAACTACTGCCCATAGCATTCAGTGTTGCCATCACTAAACCCCTGACTATCAACATCCTGGGGGTTATTACTGACCAGAATCTCAACTGGACTCTCAACATAAACAGTGGGTACAAGAGCAAGCCAGAAGCTAGGAATACTGCAGCAAGTAACTCACCTCCTGACTCCTCAAACTCTGTCCACCATCTACAAGGCACAAGTCAGGAGTGTGATGGAATGCTCCCCACTTTCCTGGTTGAGTGTAGCCCCAACAACATTCAAGAAGCTTGACAGTATCCGGAACAACACAGTCCACTTGATTGGTACTACATCCACATGCATCCATTCCCTCCAACACCAACACGCAGTAGGAGCAGTGTGTACTATCTACCAGAAGCCCTGCAGAAATTCAAAGATCCTCAGACAGCACTTTCCAAACCCGCGACCACTTCCATCTAGAAGGACAAGGGTAGCAGATATATGGGAATACCACCACCTTTAAGTTCCTCTCCAAGCCAATCACCACCCTGAATTGGAAATATATTGCCGTTCCTTCACTGTCACTGGGTCAAAATCCTGGAATTCCCTCCCTAATGGCATTGTGGGTCAACCCACAGCAGGTGGACTGCAGCAGTTCAAGAAAGCAGCTCACCACCACTGTCTCAAGGGCAACTAGGGATGGGCAATAAATGCTGGGCGAGCTAGTGACACCCACATCCCACAAATGGGAAAAAAGTGCTCTCCTTCAATTTTGAAATACTGGAAGGATGGCCAAAAACCCAAAGATGGAATGGAATATGAATTGTGTAGTGATGCCATACATAGGAAGAATACTAAAAATGAGCAAAATGTTGCAGATGCTGGAAATCTGAAATATTAACAGCAAATGCAAATATGTTCAAATTAATATAAAGGGTTTGGCAATGAGCAAAGGAAGTAGAAATTGGGGGAAGATTTTGGTTTAAAAAAGTGTTAAAACTTAGTTTCCAGTTCGGTCTCTCCCCAAAAACTCTAATTACACCCTTTTGGGTGTAGAATTTTTAAGATTAAAAAAAATCACATATTAGCAAGTAAATACACGATTATTTAAATATACAAGACATTTTATATCACTTGTTACCCATCGACACAACAATTCTAATTCACCACACACAAATTAAACATATGTAAGCAAAAGTACACAATTCAATTAGTTACATAGTAACAGATAGGAAGAGTAGGCCATTCAGCCCTTTGAATTTTCTCCACCCTTCAATATTATGGTTGATAACCCAACTCAGTACCCTGTGCCCACTTTCTTCCTATACCTTTTAATCGCTTTAGTCATAACAACTGTATGTAACTCCTTCACGAAAATATTTAACATTTTGATTTCAACTGCTTTCTGTCGCTCAGAATTACATAAGCTCATCACGAAAAAAAAATCCCTTCTCATCTCAGTTCGAAATGGCCTGCACCATTTCCTCAGACTGTGACCCCAGGTTCTGGACTCCCCACTCATTGTTTACCTTGTCTTATGCAGTTAGAATTTTGTAGGTACGTTTGAGATACCTACTCATTCTTTCTTCTATCCTTGTAAAAGGTGACAGGCTGGGTTCTTACAGTTATAATTTGAGGACTTACATTTCCTTTCCTTTTCCAACAGCAGCAACCTTTTGACTATCTCCAGACCAACAAATATCTTTGATTGTCCCTGCAAAGGGTTGGTACTCATACTTCAGTAGGTGTTCTTTTTGGGTCGTATCCCAAATTCGAATTTTTCCAGAAGTATCTGTCACAATACAGAAAAATTATTTTAAGTGATGTACAAGTACAGCAAACATAGCATCGAAAACCAAGTTTTCTTTTTTAAAAAAAAAAACGAAGGATAAGTTTCCCTCATTTATTCTAGTTGATATAAATGCCAACATTCCTTTTTCATTGGGATATTAAGTTAATGTTGTACAGGACATTGGTGAGCCCTGTTATGGAGTACTGTGTCCAGTTCCAGTCTGTCCTTTATAGGAAGGATAATATTAAGCTGGAGTGGGTTCAGAAGAAATTTACCAGGATGCTCCCAGGAATGGAGGATTTGAGTTAACGAGAGGCTGGGACTTTTTTCACTGGAGTGTAGGAGTTGAGAGGTGAACTTATGGAGGTTTATAAGATCATGAGGGACATAGATAAGGTGAATGGCAAGTGTCTTTTCCCTAGGGTAGGGGATTTCAAGACTAGGGGGCATAGTTTTTAAGATGAGAGGAAAAGGATTTGAAAAATAGATTGAGGGGCATTTTGTTTTAAATACAGAGCAGTTCGTGTATGGAATGAACTTCCATGCAAAGTGGTAGATGTGGGTACAGTTATAATGTTTAAAAGACAATTGGCTTAGTACATGATCAAGAAATGTTTGGAGGGTTATGGGCCAAGTGCAGGCAGGTGGGACTAGTTTAATTTAGGATTATGGTCAGCATGGACTGAAAGGTCCGTTTCTGTGCTGTATGGCTATGATTATATATAGGGCTCGTAAAGCTGCTTATATTTCAATAATCCACAAACATGAACATGTGGCTTTCTATCGCAATTCATTAAAAATGGTAAACAATTGGGACCTCAATATAGATTAATCAATTCTGACAGAGAAGGTTCTCTGCTTCTCTCCACAGATGCTGCCCAACTTGCTGATTATTTCCCAACAACAGACAATCTTAGATTCATGCCTACATTATTTATAGTCACATAATCTTCGAAGATTTAGCTGCATAGAGACAATTCCAGTCTTCAGTGCACACAGATCTCCTGCCTAAACTAAACAAATTCAGTCATCAAGATTTATTTTACATCCAAAACTATTGCTTCAATAGTGTATCTGGCATTCACTGTACTCTTCAGTTAAATTATGGTGCTGTGTACCTCGGGGGAGAGAGAAAGGTAACGCAAGGACTGGTAACCAAGAGGCTCAAATTAATACCAAGGACAGGGTTCAAATCCCACCACAGTAGTTGGCAGAATTTAAATTCAATTATTAATAAATTTAACTTCCATGATCAGCACTAATATCACCTATAAATGAGGAGCCAACCTAGTGAGGGTACACAGACTTAGCTGAATCCTAAACTGTGAAACCACTGTTACACTTGACCAATCAAGTACAGTGGAAGACAATTAAACATGTTGCACAAATTTCCCCATCCTCACTGATGGAAAAGCCCAACACATGCAAAATAATAGTGTCAAAGTACTGGTAAACATTTTCAATAAGTGCCGAATGGATGGTCGATCTTGGCCTCATCCTGAGATGTCTAGTCTTCAACCAATTTAGTTTTCACTCCTATGCAACATCAAAAAACAACTGAAGGCACTGGATACTGCAAAAGACATGGGACCTGACCACATTCCAGCAATTGAGCAGCATTTCATCAAGTGTAGCATTAAAGAACCCTAGCAAAATTGAACAGGAGGAAAATGGTCCACTCATTAGAGTCATGGCCTCTACTAAGGAAGATGATTGTAGTTACATCTCAATCGCAGTCATCTTAGTCCCAGGACATCAGCGCAGACATTCCTCAGGGCAGTGTTCTCGGCCATACCATCTTCAGCTGCTTCAATAACCTTTTCGCCATAAGGTTAGATATTAGGGGTAGACGATTGCACAAAGCTTACCACAAATTAGAAGTCCTTAAAAAGTCAAGCATGCAAGTGCACAAGACCATTCTTTTTTATCCTTTCAGAAAGAGTGGGCATTGCCAGAAGGGCATTTGGTGTTCATTCCCAATTACCCCCAAACTGAATAGCTTGGGGGGAGGGCAACTAAGAGTCAACCACACAGCTGTGGGTCTGGGGTCACATGTAGATCACAGCAGAGAAGACTGGTAGACTTTCTTCACTGAAAGAACATTAATGAACCAGGTGGGTTTTCACAAGAATGATACTTTCACGTTAATTATTACCTCTTAATTAATAGCTCTTAAAGCTAGCTTTATTAATGGAATTTAAATTCCACCAGCTGCCATGGTGGGATGTGAACCCATGTCAGAGCATTAACAAGTCTCTGAATTACTATTACAATGACATTAGATTAGGAAACCATCTCCCAGGGCAAATAACATTTGCTCCGCACAAGTATAGGTAATGACCATCTAACTAGGTCCCCACAATATTTAGTGACATCACTACTGAATCCATTACTATCCTTTAAATACGAGGGCTACAGATGCAGGCAAGAGGCTGAGAATTGTATGGCAAGTAACATGCCTCCCATCTCCCTAAAGCTAATCCACAAGTTACAAGTCAACAGTTTGGTGGAATACTCTCCATTTGTCCAGATGAGAGCAGCTCTAACTCTCACAAACCCCAACACAAGCCAGGATAAAGCAACTTGCTTGACTGGCACACCATTCACTAGCAAAGCACAACTCCAGTTCTGCTAACTACTTAGTGATTTAAAGCACTACTCAAAAATAAGCCACACGGCAAGTATGGGCATAGGTTTTATAAGGCTGTAAAACAGTTCAGGACTTTACTTGTATTTTAATGCTTTAGAGGAAATGATTTGATTTCAAGATCATTTAGCACTATTACCAGTGAGCTGAAGAGCCATTTTTTAATATTGACCCAGTACGGTGCTATTTCTCATCAACAATGAGATACATGTAGCATAGATGACAGAGGAGTCACACAGAAACTAAGGAGTGATAAAAAGAGAGCAAATGACAAGAATACTGCAGTGCTATAGCAGATTAATGTCACTTTTTTCACCCTGCCAATAACATAGTAATTTCTTTCCTAAATTACAAAAATTTGTTAAGCTTTCGCCATCTGTTCTAGCATCACATCTACAAAGTCCAAAGCACATTAAATTATTGTTACATTCACTTCATGCAACAAAACTTTTGTGCCACAAACAATTCATTCAAAAATTAAATCTCAACAAAGCAACAAATTATTATATGATGGTATCAGACCTCCTAACTTTGTCTCTCTGCAATGCATCACTTCAGCAAAAGAATGAGGCATCAACTTCAAATATACCGGTCTATTTCAAACAATGGTTAAGATATCTATCATGAGGAATCAAGGAAAAATGGGATGTTAAAAATGTATCTCAAAAAAAATGCATAGGTTTGCTATGAACTGTTCTTTTCGCTTGAAGAATCATCACAATCAGCTTCAACATTGAAAATGCCATTATTCCTACAAACAGGCAACTTATTTAGAAATGGTAAACTCTTTCCAAATACTGAGCCAGAAAGAAATCCTTGCTGCATTAGCCATTGCATGCTGCAATCACAGTTTTGAATATAGTTCAATTGACATACCTCCTGAGGCGATGTAAAACCCACTAGGTGCATACTGGGCAACCTGAACTTGATGAGCATGCTCGGTATAAACATCAGCAATTTCTGGATTCTGAAACAAGACAAGACTTAAGACATTCTGAATTTTTAAAAATATGCAAATACTTGCAAATTAAACAAGCATAAAAAAACAATTACATCAATGTTCCTTATGATGACACTTTTGTTGTTGGTGTAAAGAAAGTTGATTCCTTTTGGATCACCTCCAAGGACCTTTGAAACCCCTCTTTCCATTTGAGGAAGGCAAGCAAACACTTTACCTGTTGAGAAATAAAAAAGGACTGATATAGATGCAATACTTGAAAATTTATGCAAGGTGATCTTTACTATATCTGAAACGCTAGAATTTCAGTTCTAAATGTGAAACATTTGGTAGACAGAAATAATGGAAAATAATATTCTTCATTTATTCCCCAAGCTGTTACAGTTTTCAAACTGCAAGAAAGAAAACGTTTGTTAATGTTACGGCGAGGATAAGAAAATCTTAAATCAAACTGTACATCTATATAGACAGGGAAATATTTTATGCTGCATGGTAGCCAAATTTTCAAACTTCTGAATTAGAAACACACAAATGATCTATTTCTTTCAGTTAGTTTGAAATGTTGCATTTAGATACATATAAACCCCTCATGGTTTTGGAAGTAAATTATACAAGAACAAAGCAATTTTAGGAAAAACTATCAACATGCAGTGTGGGTAATACTACAATCTTCTGGTTCCGAAAATTTAGGTTTGATCTCAATGTCATTCATTCATTATCTACATGGGATTGTGGTCACAGCTAGCATCCTCCAGACAAAAAAATCCCATGTGCTTCTTAAAAATCTACTCAAAGGAGGCTGTTTGGCTGATGTCTTTGCCTGGAAAGTGAATATTGCCAACACTGCAGAAACAGGTAATTAGTCACTCAGTAATTTAAGAGATTACATATAATAACTGCTATCTGGCTTCATGGAAAGTTCATGCATTTCGCAGCAAGCACTGTAACTGATATGTCACTATAAACAAGCCAAGCTTCTAAATTACACTTTGATCTGAAGAGTTCCAGTTTTGCGACCTCATTTTCCCCAAGGGGCTAATCAGCTGTGGCTCAGTGATAGAACTTGCAATTCTTCACTGAAAAGTTTGAGAGATCACGGTCTGCTCCAGAAACTTGAGCATTTAAGCTACTGATATATCAGTATAGAAGTAAATGTATGCAATAGTATCAGAGGTAATATCTTTCAGAGATGTTAAACTGAGGTGCCATCTACCTTTTTAGATGAATGTAAAAGCTCACACGGTATTAAAGAGCAGGGAGTTCTTTCAGTCAAAATTTCTCTCAATCCACAACTAAGTGCAGGTTATGCAGACATTTCTTCCATCCTTTCAAGGAGGAGCTAGATATAGTTCTTAGGGCTATATGGATCAAATGGTATGGGATGAAAGCAGAAACAGAGCACTGAATTAGATAATCGGCCATGATCATACTGAATGCCAGAGCAGGCTCAAAGGGTCACATGGCCTACTCCTGCCCCTATTTTCTATGCGTCTATTACTATATTTGAGGCCGTGCACACAAATTAGTGGCCTCAGTTGCTATATTAGTGAACTTTCTTTAAATTCATGTAATTGGTTATAAAGCACTTGGGACATCCTTAATCATGTAAGATACTGTAAAGGTATTTTTAAGATTAAGCAAGATCAAAAATGCACATATGCAATATATTTGGAATAGAGAGTGTGCAAGACTGGTGGTGGGTACAAGCTCAGGTGAAGGGAGAGGCCGAGAAGGCATGTCCTTCATGGTAACCTCAGCTGATGTGGAAATTGAACCCAAGCTGTGGTTTGACTCCACATCCAATCAACTGAGCTAACAGGTATCCATGCCCCATTGGTGTGTTACTACTATTCAAATAAATATGACAATACAAATTAGGAATACATCACTTGTCCTGTTGCGCCCATGTCATGTAACGAGATTGTGGTGGATCTGATTATATCTGATTCCTGCTTGCCCCAACAAACTTTAATCCCCTTGCTTATCATAAATTTACACCTGCTTTCAAAAAAACTCTTTGCTCAAAAGGCAGTGTAAGCAGAATTCCAAAGTTTTAACAAGAGTAAAAGGCGACCATTATTTTTTAAAATGTGACCCAAAGTTATAGATTCTCCCACAAGAGGAAATGTCCTTTTCACACGCACCCTGTCAAGGCTCATCAGGACCTTTCAATGAGTCATCTCTTACTCTTCTAAACTCCAAGAGATACAAGCCTAGTCTGATCAACCTTCCCATGTAAGGCAACTCATCCATTCCAGATATTAGTCTGCTAAATCCCTCAACTGTTTCTAATGCAGTTACATCCTTCCATAAATAAGATGATCAATACTGAGCACAACACTTCGCTATGTAGCTGAAGCATAGCCTCCATACCTCTATCAATTTCTACAGGCAATAAATGATAAAATTCTATTAGCTTTCCTAATTACTTGCTATATCAGCATTCAAATCCTTTGCAGTCCATGCATAAGGTCACTCAAATCATCTTGCGTCTGAGCTCTGCAGTCTCTCAATTAGATAATGTTTCTTTTTAATTCTTTCTACCAAAATAGACAATTTCACATTTTCATACATTACACAATTATCTGCCAGATAGCTCCCCACTTAATTACCCTAACTACCTCCCTATAATCTCCTTACTTGCATCTCACAACTTACTCTGTCACCAGCAAATTTAGCAACCATACCTTCAATCCCTTCATCCAAGTCACTTTTTCAAATTGCAAAAGCTTAAGCCTCAGCCCTGATCCCTGTGGCACAGAAATCATTACATCTTGCCATTTAGAAAATGACCCATTTATGCCTTCTGTTTCCGATTTGCCAGCAAATCTATCACATATACAATGAACTTTTATTTCCCACAAGAACCTTTGAAGTGACACTTTGTCAAATGTATTCTGGAAATCCATGTTCAAATATCCAGTGATACTCTTATTCACAGAAGTCATTCCCTCAAACATCTGCAATGAAGTGGTTAACATTACTCCGCCTGATCAGCTCAAACTTTTCTAACAGCCCTTCTATAAACTCTTTAACAAAAAGAGTTAGTATACTCCCTATAACTGATGTTAAACTAACAAGCTTGTAGATTCCTGCTTTCTGTCTTCCTCCCTTTTTTGAATAAAGAAGTCACAATTGCTACTTTCCAATTTAATGTAACGATCCCTTGAATCTTGGAAATTTTGGAAAATTAGAACCAACACAGTCAACTATCTTGCAAGACCCAAAAATGAAGTCCATTAGGAGCCACAGCTCTAATTTGTTCAGTATTGTGTGCAAATATGATTTGCGTACTGAAGGGATACCCCCATAATCGTAGCAGTTACAGAGTGTGGATGATTCAGTATTGGAGCACAAATGTTCACAGAAATGTTTCTAAAATACATATAAAACATCCTCAGGGATCTTGTACACCCAATGAGCTTTAAGCCGAGACAGTGTTCTCATTGAGCTATGACAGATTAGTTTTCATACATACACTTGTATACTAGTTACTGAATTTGAAAGCAACGTACGAGCATATGCAAATGCTATCATTGAACGCTCAAAATTATGTGAGTACTAACTAACTTGAAAATCAGAGACCATTAAGAGGCTAGATGGTGTGGATATTCTTTAACAAATGGCATAAGACCATAAGACATAGGAGCAGAAATTAGGCCATTCGCCCATCGAGTCTGCTCTGCCATTCAATCATGGCTGATAAGTTCCTCAACCCCATTCTCCCGCTTTCTCCCTGTAACCGTTGATTCCCTTGATAATCAAGAACCTATCTATCTCAGTCTTAAATGTACTCAATGACCTGGCCTCCACAGCCTTCTGTGGCAGTGAATTCCATAGATTCACCACTCTCTGGCTGAAGAAGTTTCTCCTTATCTCCGTTCTAAAAAGGTCTTCCCTTTACTCTAAGGCTGTGCCCTCGGGTCCTAGTCTCTCCTACCAATGGAAGCATCTTCCCAACATCCAATCGGTCCAGGCCATTCAGTATTCTGTAAGTTTCAATTAGATCCCCCCTCATCCAATGAGTATAGTCCCAGAGTCCTCAATCATTCCTCATATATTAAGCTTTCCATTCATGGGACCATTCTCATGAACCTCCTCTGAACCCACTCCAGGGCCAGTACATCCTTCCTGAGATATAGGACCCAAAACTGCACACACTACTCCAAATGTGGCCTGACCAGAGCCTTATAAAGCCTCAGGAGTACATCACTACTTTTATATTCAAGTCCTCAAAATAAATGCCAACATTGCATTTGCCTTCCTGACTGACTCAACCTGCAAGTTTACCTTGAGGAAATCCTGGACTAGAACTTCCAAGTCTCTTTGCACTTCAGAAAATACAAAACTAGAAAGAACATTTCCTATATTGGCTAGGTTTTGGCTAGTGGTGAACAGAGGCCTACATTAAGATTTCTTATTCTTTAAAAAAAACTTGAAAAATGTGCACAATCATTAATAACAAAATTTAAAGAGCAACTTCAACAGTATGTCTGAGAATAAAACATTATAGTTTGGATGACAGTAACATAGTAAATGCAGTCCATTTTGGCGCAATTAAAGAAAGTAGTAACATGACCTAAACGGTAACAGTTGCAACAGAGCTGAACAGAAATTGCGTAACATCCACAATAGATAGCAGGAACTGCAGATGCTGGAGAATCTGAAATAACAAGGTGTAGAGCTGGATGAACACAGCAGGCCAAGCAGCATCAGAGGAGTAGGAAGGCTGATGTTTTGGGCCTCGACCCTTTT